CTCGGCCGACTTCGAAGACGTCGGCCGCCCTAAGTGTCGCGGACAATACTTAGGGCGGCCGACGTCTTCGAAGTCGGCCGAGATTATTAAAATAAGAAATTATTTATGGCACCCACGACCGCCTAAAGTATTGTTCGTGATATAAGAAACAATCTCGGCCGACTTCGAAGACGTCGGCCGCCCCAAGTTCACGAACAATATTTTAGGCGGCCGACGTCTTTGAAGTCGGCCCAGATTATTAAAATAAGAAATTATTCGTGGCACCCCACGGCCGCCTCAAGTATTGTTCGTGATATAAGAAACAATCTCGGCCGACTTCGAAGAGGTCGGCCGCCCCAAGTATCATGAACAATATTTTAAGACATCTTTGAAGTCGGCCGAGATTGTTTCTTCCATAAATTTCAAGCAGGGTATTGTTCGAGATACTTGGGGCGGCCGACCCGAAGTATTGTTCTTGATATATTATATATATGTATGAAAATGTATAAAATTATGAATTATTATACATAACCCAAAACATCAATCTAAAAATGATCAAAATAAATATATGAAATATTGAAACCAATTAAATTTGAAATATAGTATTTAATGAATATCCATATATATATATATATATATATATATATATATATAATTTGTTATTGTATTAAATCCAGCAATTAATTCCCGAAGCGAAAAGACATGTTTTAAATAATTGAAATAATTGTTCACGTTTGATCACATTTTAAATGATCCAATGATATTTACTTCATTGAAATAAAATATAACAATCTAATGGTGCAAATTGTATCAACTAAATGAACTCAAATATTAGGATATAGTAAAGGTTGACTAATGAGATTCAACAATATCAATGGAGTATTTACATTATTTAGAATTAATACAAATAGGACGTGATTGTTTCGAATGCGCGTAATTCAAACAGACAATTAATACCGTTGTTATAGCGTCAATTAGCGTTTTAGCGGATGAAATCGGTTTAAAATTAGAGCTAATCGAGCTCTGAAATTGCAGTCACACTCAAAAATGAAACCGCGCAGCCGTAACTCGTCCGGTAACCGCAATTCTGAACCTTATCTCGGTGTGCTATAAGGTTTGAGGAAAGGGCTAACGGGAATCTGGATCGTCGAAATTGGCAAAAGGTGGCGGCGGACGATTCGATGAAAACGCGACCAGCAAGCGTAATCAACTAGAAAACCGGTCGTTTAACATTCACGGTGAAGAACATTCATGAAGACCAACTGGACAGACACGTACGTTCTTCGGTATTCGGCGATTCGCGACACCAATTAGCTGTTCCTTCCCGAACGGCGGTTTCATTTTCAAGAGCAAAGCCGTCCGCTCACCTCGGGCCATACACCCAGGAACTAGGTCACCCGTTGACCTCCATAGGGGCCAAGGACCGTCTGTCGGAGACGCCATTCTTGTACCGCGCGTGGAATACCCAACTCAAGAGGACTTCGACGACACTGACCAACACGAACATGGCCCAATGGAACTTGTCTTTGCTTTTATTCATAACAATAACCATGGTTTCAACATCAAATATATTTGGTAAGTTTAGACAAACTTGTAAGATTTATAACATATTTATTTCAATTTGATTTAAAGATATCCTTTCGTCGCCTGATGCTGAAAATAGAGAAGATCCCTCTGACAAAACATGTTTATGTAAAGGCCCTGGATGTATGTGTTGTGTCGATTTCAACTTTACTTATGTACATTTAGGAGGACCAGGTAATAATTATTTTTTTAAATATATTTTGACACCAATTTGTATTTAACCTAAATCAAGGTAACAAACAAAGCACACACTCTTCTTCTTCTTAGTTTCACTTCTACACAATTGTATTTACACAATTTCTCTAACAACCTAAAATCACACTTATACCAAGCCTTCAAATATATTCTTAATCACATAGTAAATAATTTTTGTTATTTATAAGGTTGTGTTCAAATGGAATATATATCTCAAGACGAGGGAATTTCGGTAAATGTTTCGTATGGTGAAAGAATTTTGCATGCTCAACAAGTAAAAGGACCAAATCCACCGCCAACTTGTATGACTTTAGTGAAAAACATAGCGGAAATTTGTGCTAGATTTACAACATTGGAAAAATACGAAGATGGTTTGAAAGGATGTTTGGTAATTGAACCGAAAGTGTTAAGAGATATCCAAACGCAAATCGACATATCTTGCTTTGTGATGGGTCCGAATGGGATGAAACTCGACAACAATTCCACTGTGGATTCAAATGACGAGGAATCCGATGAAATCACCACTGAGTAAGTTATAATGTTATCTATGGATTCAAAAAAAATCGTATTCATAACAGGATTTTCATCATTAACCTGAATCCTGGAGTGCAATTTACTACCACGGTTCTTGATTAAAATAATTTATAACTCACCGTTTGTGGGTCGTTACGGTTTTGTGGTTTTTAACTGGTTTATCTTGAAAATTACAGGGCGACGGAAACGGAAATCGAAGAACTCGACTTCAACGAAGACGCTATTTTAGCAGCCGTTAGTGAAACTGCACAAAAAGGATTAACATTTTTCAGCAACTTCTTAGGCATTGATCTAAGAGGATTAGCCGCCAATATTACTGCTCCAACTGATAAAAACGTTATTGAAACTACAACTAAATCCACTTAAAAATAAGTTGTTTTAATTTTATTTAATAATTTATTTTTTCTATTTTTTTACCAATATAGTTAATTAGAATCAAATAAAAATAATTAATGGCTGTTTATCTTGCTTGCTATTTTTCTTAATTATTATTGTTTTTTGTACTGAATTTTTACACAAATAAATTTTTTGATTTAATATTTTATATTAATTGATATGATGTGACATCTATTATTTGTAGGCTAACTTAATTATTTCACAAAGAATTCTATTTTACCAAAATTTAATTAATTAATTCATTTAATCTTATTAAATAATACGGTTTTAATTTAAGATCTCAATTTGAAATGGTATGAAATTAAAAATTAAGTAGAAAACTGAAATAATCCCAAAACGTACATCATACGACATCTATGAACTGATAGTTGGACTGTTCTAGAAAACTTTTTTTGGAGTTTCTATATTTATTTGATCATTGATTATTATTATTATTTTATTTATAATTATCTATATTATATAATTATTTATGGCACCGCACGGCCGCCACAAGTACTGTTCGTGATTTAAGAAACAATCTCGGCCGACTTCTAAGACGTCAGCCGCCCTAAGTGTCGCGAACAATACTTAGGGCAGCCGACGTCTTCGAAGTCGGCCGAGATTTTTGAAATAAGAAATTATTTATGGCACCCCACGGTCGCCGGAAGTATTGTTCGTGATATAAGAAACCATCTCGGCCGACTTCGAAGACGTCGGCCGCTCCAAGTATCGCGAACAATACTTAGGGCAGCCGACTTCGAAGTCGTCGGCCGAGATTATTGGAATAAGAAATTATTTATGGCAGCCCACGGTCGCCCGAAGTATTGTTCATGATATAAGAAACAACCTCGGCCGACTTCGAAGACGTCGGCCGTCCCAAGTGTCGCGAACAATACTTAGGGCGGCCGACATCTTCGAAGTCGGCCGAGATTATTGAAATAAGAAATTATTTATGGCACCCCACGACCGCCCGAAGTATTATACGTGATTTAAAAAACAATCTCGGCCGACTTCAAAGACGTCGGCCGCCCTAAGTATCAAGAACAATACTAAGGGCGGCCGACGTCTTCGAAGTCGGCCGACATTTTTGAAATAAGAAATTATTTATGGCACCCCACGGTCGCCGGAAGTATTGTTCGTGATATAAGAAACAATCTCGGTCGACTTCGAAGACGTCGGCCGCTCCAAGTATCGCGAACAATACTTAGGGCAGCCGACTTCGAAGTCGTCGGCCGAGATTATTGGAATAAGAAATTATTTATGGCAGCCCACGGTCGCCCGAAGTATTGTTCATGATATAAGAAACAACCTCGGCCGACTTCGAAGACGTCGGCCGTCCCAAGTGTCGCGAACAATACTTAGGGCGGCCGACATCTTCGAAGTCGGCCGAGATTATTGAAATAAGAAATTATTTATGGCACCCCACGACCGCCCGAAGTATTATACGTGATTTAAAAAACAATCTCGGCCGACTTCAAAGACGTCGGCCGCCCTAAGTATCAAGAACAATACTAAGGGCGGCCGACGTCTTCGAAGTCGGCCGACATTTTTGAAATAAGAAATTATTTATGGCACCCCACGGTCGCCGGAAGTATTGTTCGTGATATAAGAAACAATCTCGGTCGACTTCGAAGACGTCGGCCGCTCCAAGTATCGCGAACAATACTTAGGGCAGCCGACTTCGAAGTCGTCGGCCGAGATTATTGGAATAAGAAATTATTTATGGCAGCCCACGGTCGCCCGAAGTATTGTTCATGATATAAGAAACAACCTCGGCCGACTTCGAAGACGTCGGCCGTCCCAAGTGTCGCGAACAATACTTAGGGCGGCCGACATCTTCGAAGTCGGCCGAGATTATTGAAATAAGAAATTATTTATGGCACCCCACGACCGCCCGAAGTATTATACGTGATTTAAAAAACAATCTCGGCCGACTTCAAAGACGTCGGCCGCCCTAAGTATCAAGAACAATACTAAGGGCGGCCGACGTCTTCGAAGTCGGCCGAGATTTTTAAAATAAGAAATTATTTATGGCACCCCACGACCGCCCCAAGCATTGTTATAATATAAAAAATAATCTCGGCCGATTTCGAAGACATCGGCCGCCCTAAGTACCCTGAACGATACTTTGGGCTTTGGCGTAGGGCGGCCGACATCTTCAAAGTCGGTTTAAGGTCTTTGCCCACTACACCGTTCCATACTAGGACCGTAACAGGAATGTGTCAAGCACGTAAAAAAACGTTCCGAACACTACTATGCCCACTGCAACTGCGTTCTATTCTCGTATGAAACGCGTATTATGCCCGTATGCAAGGCCCATGTATACAATCTGTAGATGCCCCGTTCGGATCCTGTTTAGTGCAGCACCAGATCTGTTAGTTGTTGTACATTTTTGCTGTTGCGCTTACCTGCGGATAGTATCAAAANTCGAAATCGGTCAAAAAGTATCCAATTACCGACGTCTTCGAAGTCGGCCCAGATTATTGAAATAAGAAATTATTTATGGCACCCCACGACTGTTCAACCTCTTCTTGATATAAATAATAATCTCGGCCGACTTCGAAGACGTCGGCCACCCCAAGTGTCGCGAGCAATACTTAAGGAGTACCACAATGTAGTATTCTAACACAACTTTCCCGAAATTATACAAATTACAACTAAACTCCAAAATGCAATACAACGAAACTCCCTGGTATGTCTGTAAACGATCTCTCAACGATATGAAGATAGACACAGTAAGAATTCGTCAACATAGCAACATCAAGGAGACACAGCTCTTACATAACGAAGGGAAGATTAGAAATGATAAAATTTATTGCTTATTGCCCTATATAGATAATCCTGGTTCTATGTCTTTATCTAGAATGTCTATCTTTGACATCAAAAAGATCCAAATCATGTTGCTAAAGAGCAGAAAATGTTAAGAAGCATGCATAAACGTCAATAAACACCAGATTCTGACCCTGCCATCCTGTTGATCTAATCTAATTCCAAAACAAGGTCTCTAACTATAGCATATAATTTAAGACCATTTTTTTATTATTTCCAGGTTGGCCATCTGCTTACCAAGTATCTAAAAATGACATCTATCAACCAAAAGTCGAATTAACTTAATAAAGATTTCTTCTTCATTAATAATTTTTTAATAATTATTAATTTTATTTTGTTTAAATTTTGAATGAACTTTGAAACTATCTATTAATGAATATAGTTTGGATGGGTTTATTGTTGGGGTAAAAGTATGAAATTAATTAAATATGTATTTATAGATAAATAAATAAATAAATCGTCTGCAGTATATGACCCGGAAATGGTTAAATTGCCCTTCTCAATTCGCAACCATTTTTGCATAACAACCCGAAGAGTCTTCACGTCTATTACCATTTAAAATAATTACGCTTTTCCTCTTTAAGTGATAAATTGTTAAATGATTCGAAGAGATGATGGAATGAAACTATTTTGTTGATTAAAAATCGAAACGTTTTCTAGAATAAATAATTTTAACTTTTAATTCATAAAATTTATCATTTTCCGGATTTATTGTATACAAAATATCTGGATGATAAGCTGTAAATTAGTTATTAATAATTGCAAATTGTAATAAATCACCAAAAATTAGGAACGTCAATAAAATTTTGGGAAAAATGTTGATTTAACAAACAATTTGGTTGAACTTTCCCCTCTCTTATCAATTTAATGACCTCTCATGATCTTCTTGGCTATGATTCGTGGAACCACATCGAACAGACCATCAACGTAGTCTTTCTTAAATGTATTTTAAAGCGAACCATTCAATCTTCACGTTGATTTTAACGATAAGAATGTTGATTTGATAACGAAAACAAAAATCATGTTAAAGTTTTTTGTGTTTTTTGTTATACTTTTTCATTTTACGCGGGGTAAGTTTTCATTTATTAAAACAAAAACAAGATTTATTAACGTATTATTTTAGCAAATCTTGTCCACTCTAACTCATGCTCTAGATATTGTAAGGATACAAAAAATAGTTTTAATTATAAAATAGGATACACGTACGAATATAAATATACTGGAATAATAAATAGTTTAGTTTATAAGAATACGTCAAACGCTAAAAGCGATGAGTTTCAAATCGATTTAGAAATTGATGTATTATCACCATGCGATTTTGAAATGAAAATAATTTCATTTCAAAGAAAAAACGATGGAAATAAAATATTTGAAGAATCTTTAAAGAAAAATCCTCTAAAATTTTCATTCCAAAATGGTAAAATCGTTACGGTGTGTCCAACAATTGACGAAACAACTCCTATTTTAAATTTAAAAAGGGGTATTTTATCGTCATTTCAAACAAGCCGAGATAAAGGCGTTTTTTTTGAAACTGATGTTAGCGGAATTTGTAAAACAAATTATGAAATTACCTCTGATTTAAATTCCAACAAAATTGTTAAAAAAATTAGAGACCTAACGAGTTGCAATAAAAGATCCATCAAACAATTTTCGTGGCAATCTGAAATTTACAACAAAAATCAGGCAAAATTTTCTTCGCCTCTTTTAAAAAGTACTCAAAATTGCCAACAAATTATTCGAAACAATCAAATTTACAACGTCGATTGTGTGGAAAAGCACCTTTTTCGACCGTTTTCTAACGAAGAAAATGGAGCTTCAATAATTTTAACACAACAACTTCGATTTAAAAAATCTTACAATAAACTAAACAATCAAAGAAAACGGATTGAATTTTTATACTCATCATTAATTTTTGAAAAAGAAAACAAATTAATTAAAAACCCTTCCGGGGATATCGAAAAATTTCAAGAAATCATGGAAGAAATTGATGAAAAATTAAAAAATGGATTAGGAAAAGATGTTGTTGAATTATTTTCAGGATTAGTAAACCTTCTAGAAACTCCCGACCAAAAATTTTTAATCGAAGCTTTCGAGGAAGTAAAAGAATCAAAAACGAAAAGAAAATTCTTTATTGACGCCATCTCCGTCGTCAAAACAATCGAAAGCGTTGAAGTGATTAAAAAACTTAATAAAAACCAAGAAATTTCTCACCAATTAGTAAACTCTTGGTTAACGAGTTTAGGATTTATTAAAAACCCACAAAAAGAATTAATTTATTCGTTAAAAGTATGTTAAAAAACACAAATATCTTTGTATTAATAAAAAATTTTTAGGAATTCTTAAACGATGAAGAATATTTAATCCCAACAAAACAAACCGCTTTCTTAACAATTTCACGACTAATACATCAATATTGCAAAGATAATAATTGCGAAGACGAATTTAAGGAAATTTTTGAATTAATTTCTAAACCCATATCACAAAATTGCGTCCCTGATAGTGTAGAACACCAAGATAATATTTTACTTGCTTTAAAATCAATAGGAAATACTGGAAATGAGTATTTTTTAAGATATCTTCAAAAATGTTATAAGGTAACGATATTTTATTTTCACTTCTTGATGATATTTCTTCCATAAAGTTATATACACTGTGGTAATTAATTATCGTACTCGACGTCATCACTGCAAGTATGCAACCAATATCACAGTATTGTATTATATTATATTATACTGTGATATTGGTTGCATACTTGCAATGATGTCAAAAGGACTACTATATATATATTTCATTAACAATTTTGAATAATTTAATTATTTAATATATTTTTTTTAGAACATAAATGTTCCGATAGATTTAAAAGTAGCTTCAATTCAAGCACACCGAAGAATAAATTGCAATAAAAACAAAAATATCGAAGATTTCGAAGAAATATTTTCAAATTTCGAAGAAAATTCAGAATTAAGAATAATATCTTATCTAGGAATGATGAGGTGTTCGTCTTATTCAACATTAGAAAAAATAAAATACGTTTTAAACGAAGAAGAAACGAATCAAGTTGGATCATTCGTTTGGTCACATTTAGTAAATTTACAAAAAACTGAAAGTTATTGGAAACAAAATTTAAAGAAATTGGTCGAAAACGACGATTTGAAGCATAAATTTAGTACTGATCCAAGAAAGTATTCGCGAAATTATGAATTTTCGACGTTTTTGGATGAAATTGATACGGGGGTTGGTGTTGAAAGTAATTTAATTTTTAGTCAAGATTCGTATCTACCTAAATCGGGGTTTTTAAATTTTACTATTGATATTTTTGGGGAAGCTATAAATCTGTTTGAAATTGGTGCAAGAATTGAAGGTTTTGAAGAGATTGTTGAAAATATTTTTGGTCCAAACGGTTATTTTCCCGAAAAATCGATAAAAACATTTTTGGAAAATCAAAGAAGCGAGCACGAAACAAATTTATTAAACATCCAAAACAATCATCACACTTTAAAAAAATCACCAAACGGTTTATTTTACACAAAAATATTTGGAGACGAAATAAATTTTAATAAATTTCAAAATCTCGAGGGGATTTTTGGAAAACCAAATGATATATATTCGTTTCTTCACGCATTAACGAGCTTATTAAAAGATATTGAGTTTTCAAAATCATTAAAATTTTTGGATTCAAAACTAGAAATTCCTACAATTTTAGGATTTCCTTTAGAACTTTCATCAAATGGGACAGCGGTTTTAGGGTTAACAACAAGCGGAAAAATCAATATTAAAGATTTAAAAAATTATAAATTTGACTTGGAAGGAAAAATATCACCGAGTGCTTCAGTTAAAATTGAAGGAAACATGAAAATTGATAGCTATTTCACTAAAATTGGTTTAAAAACAGTATCAACTTTAAACTCGAATGTTTTAATCGATGGTTTTCTCAAAATCGATAAAGGAAATTTGATCGATGTCAAAATAAATGCTCCAAAAAATCACATCGATTTATTCAACATCGAATCAAGCATATTTTTAATAAAAGGTGATAAAATTGAAGAAATTGATGATATATCAAGCGAAGGGGTCGACAGAAACGATTGTACAGGAACAAATTTTGAAGAAATAATCGGTTTAAAACTGTGCCATCAAATCAAATATGTAAACGCATCGCAGTATATTGACGCCCCATATTTCCCTTTAACCGGAAAATTTAAATACGCAATAACAGCCCAAAAAAATGATTCATTTAATAGTTACATTTTTAAATTTACTTCTCAAAGAGATGATAAGCAAGGAATTTACGGTTTTACTTTGGACTTAGACAGACCAAACTCCAAGATTAATCGAAAATTATCAAGTCATTTTTTATTAAACATCCCCGAAAAAAGAATTGGGTTAAAAATGTTATCGAATAAGATTTCGTTCGATCTTTTAGGATCAATCCAACAAAATGATCCCAAAAAATTAACATTTTCTTTAAAACATACCTACAATAAAGAAGAAATTTTCGACGTCGAAGCAACCCTAAATCATCAAGCACCGAAATATGATGTTAACATTCATCTAAATTACAAAAAAAATCAATTATTTTTACTAAAAGGTAATTTAAACAAAAAATTGGACGAATTCACATCATCATTTCAAGTTAACATTAAAAAAAATCATTACATATTCGATTCAACGTTAAAAATAAAAGATAATTCTTATATTTTAACATCGATCATAAAAGATGGCGATAACACAACGAAAGGAGATATAAAAATCAATTTAATTTACGATATTAATCATTTATCGATGGATTTTAACACAAATTATAAAGGAGAAACAATTTCATTGATTCTAAAAACTTTTAAGCAAACAACTTATGATATGTTAAAACACGGATTTTATTTGAAACTTAATTCGAGTATAAATCCCAATTACAACGGACTAATTAATATAGAAACACGAAAAGCATATTTCTTTTATGACTTACAAGGAAATGTTGATGTTTTCGGCAAAAAATGGAAAACCACGCAATTTTTACAATTTTTCAAAGAAGACGACGTCGTTGATGCAGCAATAATAAGCTCATTAAATTGCCAAGAAAAAAATATCGATTACGTTTTCGAATTATCCCATTACAAAGCTAACCACAAAGATTTAGGAAAATTTTTGATCCAATTTAATCAAATACAAAAATTAGAAGCTTCGTATAAAATTGAAGAAAAGAACCGAAACACATATTTATTAATTTTCGTTTATTTCCCCATCAATACTTACACGATTAAATCTGAGATTATAAACACAAGCGAAGCAGAATATAAAATAAATTTAATTGGCGAAAAACAAATCATCACCAAAGAAACGTTTTTAATTGTAAATGGGGTTTATTTAAAATCGCCGATAAATAACCTACAAAATTATTCATTCACCGGGAATTTTGATTTAAATAATGGGATTTTTACGACCCCATGGAGTTTTACGTTGAATTTTCAAACATCCGATGATTTATTATTAACAAATCTACACGCCCAAACCCCGATTCATGAATTTTCAACCCAGTTATTATGGAATCATAATTCGTTTAACACCAATTTCGAATTTAACAAAGCCAAAAAGTTTTTCACCAACATCAAATGGAATCACGAAGTTCAATTTGCAATGGGCTTAAATATTTACCAAAATTTCGAATTAAACATCACATTTCAACCAAAAACAAAACTCGACGTTTTGTTTTATTGGAACAAAGATAGAGATTTAAAGAAAAAACTTTATTTAAATTTACACAACTTCGGCGGCGGAATTTATTCCATGGAATTCGAATACCCCAATCAAAAAGTTACGGTTTCTTTCACGCTACAGTAAGATTTCAATTTTCTTTTAATAATTTAAAGAAATCAAAATCATTTTTTTTAGGTCAACTCAAATAATATTAAACATCACTTGGGGATTAGAAACGTATCAAAAAATTTATTTAAACGTTGGAAGTAAAGTTTATGACCTTGGAGGAATCTGGTATGGAGAATTGGAAACACCCTTTAAGTATTTTGAGAAACAACAATTTAATATCAAGTATTTAATTATGCAGAATCATGTTGATGTCGAGGTAAAAAAATATTAAAAATTGTTTTTTTAAGTATATATATATATATATATACATATATACAGAGTGTTAATTAATGCGTTATTTTATACACGATATATATATATATATATATTATTCATAGGGAAATTAAAAAATTGATAATTTTAAAAAATGGTGCCTACAAAAGCAAATTGTTCCTTGTTTAATTTTTAACAAGTTTTATTTGAAAAATATTTTGATACAAACAATAAGTAGGAAGATAATCTTAAATTTCATTTTTATACTGTTCACAGGGAAATTAAAAAATTGATAATTTTAAAAAATTGTGCCAATAAAGGTTGTTCCTGTTTTAATTCTGAACAAGTTTTATTCGAAACATATTTTAATACAAACAATAATTAGGAAAATAATCTTGAATTAAGTTTCTATACTGTTCATAGGGAAATTAAAAAATTGATAATTTTAAAAAATTGTGCCAATAAAGGTTGTTCCTGTTTTAATTCTGAACAAGTTTTATTTGAAAAATATTTTAATACAAACAATAATTAGGAAAATAATCTTGAATTAAGTTTCTATACTGTTCACAGGGAAATTAAAAAATTGATAATTTTAAAAAATTGTGCCTATAAAGGTTGTTCCTGTTTTAATTCTGAACAAGTTTTATTCGAAAAATATTTTAAGACAAACAATAATTAGGAAAATAATCTTGAATTAAGTTTCTATACTGTTCATAGGGAAATTAAAAAATTGATAGTTTTAAAAAATTGTGCCAATAAAAGTTGTTCCTGTTTTAATTCTGAACAAGTTTTATTTGAAAAATATTTTGATACAAACAATAATTAGGAAGATAATCTTGAATTAAGTTTCTATACTGTTCATAGGGAAATTAAAAAATTGATAATTTTAAAAAATTGTGCCAATAAAGGTTGTTCCTGTTTTAATTCTGAACAAGTTTCATTCGAAAAATATTTTAATACAAACAATAATTAAGAAAATTATCTTGAATTAAGTTTCTATACTGTTCTTAGAGAAATAAAAAAATTGATAATTTTAAAAAATTGTGCCAATAAAGGTTATTCCTGTTTTAATTCTGAACAAGTTTTATTTGAAAAATATTTTAATACAAACAATAATTAGGAAGATAATCTTGAATTAAGTTGCTATACTGTTCACAGGGAAATTAAAAAATTGATAATTTTAAAAAATTTTGCTAAGAAAAGTTGTTCCTGTTTTAATTCTTAACAAGTTTTATTTGAAAAATATTTTAATACAAACTAAAAATTGTTTTTTATGTTTAGATAAAAGTTTTTTGGCGAGAACATCAAATAAATTTTATGTTATCTGGATCAAGATCGTCAAATCATATAATAGGAAAATTAGAAATGAAAACAACAATGCCAGAAATTTATAACGTTGGTTTTGGGGTGAGTCATGTTGTAAATAATAAATTGGAAAATATTGAAAAATTAGAAAAAATTGATAAAATAACAAATATTTCAATGATTTATAATGAACATCAAGTGAATTGTTTTAATATTTGGACAAAAACCGGAATGAATGTCGATGGAAAATTCGAATTAACGTCACCAACAAAAACATTAAACCCAATAATCGGAAATTTAGAAATAAAAAATAACGAAACAAACAGCCAAATGAACAGTTTATTAAATTGGCAAGGACATAAAATTATAATAAACTACGAAGTTGAAAAATCGAAATCATTTATTTTGATAAAAACGCCATTCAAAGGCATCGAAAAAACGAAATTTCAATATTCATTAAACAAACAAAAAAATGATATTCTCATGGAAATTGAAATTGACATATTAAACAAATTAAATTATTTATTACTTCATTGGAGTAATGAGAACAATAAAACTTATAACGTTGAATTTGAAATCATTTCACCTATGACGGGTAAATACCAATTATTTTTTAAACACAGCACATATTACGGTTATTTAATGGAAAATCTTATTATAAATCATGGTAAAAATAACAACACCATATTTGGTATTCAATTAAACGGGAATTTAATTTCAATTTGGGAAGTTGATCTTCACTGGTCAATGAGATTTTTAAATCATAACGCTACTTTAATAATAAAAAATAATTTTAATAATTTCAGCGAATATGCGTCAAAAATGTTGGGTATTTGGGATAATTTAACAATATCGAGTGATTTAGAAATTAATTTTAATAACAAATCGTTTTGGAGGCTTAAATCGAGTGCTTTAAAAAAAGAATTTTATTGTTTTTATCATAAAAACGATGATATATATAATTTTGGTGTTACTATTAATGATATATTAAATGGCGAAATAAAATTTAAATTTTACGACCTACTTAATATCGACGTAACGTTTAAAGATTACGATATCAAGTTTAAATATTTCTTGGTTAATAATTTATATAAAAAAAATGAAATAGAAATTTTTTACCAATTTAATAATTACACGATAAAAGGCGACGTTAAATTAGACTTAAAATTGAACGATTTTTTAATAAAGGCTTATTTTATCGGATCTGATTTAGCACCCCTCGAATTTTATGGGGAAGGTAATAAAGACGAAAAAAGTTTTTATTTTAAAGTAGAATCCGATATTTTAAGAGGGAGCGCTTCGTTAAATATGAATCAACAATTATTCTCGATGAATTTAAGCGCTCAATTATTAGAAACCCAATTGGTGTTAAAAATAAATGTCGATGACGTGATTTTTGAAATGATTTTTAAATCAAATTTTGATAACGTCTATTTAAACATCGAAAAAGATGGATTAATAACTTTCCGTAAAAACAACGAAACGATTATATTAAACTACAAATTAAACGAATTAATTTTCGATGACGATAAAATCAATTTCGACGTCATTTTAACATCGAGCTTAAATCTTTTGAACAACACAATATTAATTATTAATTTGGATAGAAACAAAATTTATTTTAAATTAAATTTTGACGTTTACAAAGTTGAAATCGATTACGTTTTTAGATTTAATCGCGAATTGGATCAATTCGAAAGCGAAAATAAGGTGTTAATTTTTTTGGGGGTTGCGGATAAAAATGTTACAAACATTAATTTCGATGTTAAAACGAACTTTAAGAATCACAATAACGAAACTAGTTTTACGCTAAATTTTATCGAGAATAAATCTAAATTGGATATTGAATTATTTAAGAAAAATTGGGACGAAATTAAATTAAAATGTTTTTCGGTTTTTAATGAAAATGTTTTCGCCGAAACGATTTTCAGTTATAAAGTTGTTGGAGTTATATTTTTTGAGAGCAAATCGATATTTGGGGATGTTAATTTTCGTGTTGATGTCGGTGATTATGAAGCGGATGAGTCGAGGAGGGTTGTAACTAATATTTCGTATAAAAAGGATGATGTTGAGTATTCGGGGAAAATGTTGACTAAATACAAAAACATTTTTTGGTCCGATTCTGAGGTTGAGCTTAAATTTAATGAGACTTATTTGGGTAATTTCAAAATTGAGTTTGATTATGTTAAAAATAATAAAATTAATAATACTTTAATGATTTTGTTGAGATCACCTACACATTTAAATAAAATCGATTGCGTGTTGAATGTTGATACAATTAAGAAAGTTAACGGGGTGTTTGATTTTTATTTGGGGGTGTTTAACGCGTCGAGTAAATTGGAGTTTGAGTATGATTTGGAAGTTGATAAAAAAATCGGGGTTAATTATGACTCGGATGTTGTTAAATTACAATTAGGGGTGAATAAAGGCGATGTTAAAATTAAATTGGATTTGCCGAACAACGAAAAATTTTTTTACGTGAACGGCCAAAATGTTTTTAATGATAACGAGGTTGTGTTGAATTATTACGTTAAATATTCAACGAGTGTGTTAAATTTCAACGTTTTTTACATCAACAAAAATTACACTCAAAGTAAATTAGAAATGAGCTCTAACATTAAAGGTTATGAGCGAGTTATTTTCGAGAACCGCATTGACGATAACAAAATAAGAATATTTATGTACAGCAAATTACACAAGTTGTCTTTGATCGCCGATAAAACGGCTTTATCGCAAGATAAAGAATTGTTTAGTATTTATTACAACGGCGACCCAATCGTCGTAATAAGATCAGATAACGACCAAAGTTATTTAATGACGTCGTCTAAATACATCAATTATAAGCTAACAATTAATTACGTGCATCAACCCGCCATATACACATTTTCGATATTAAAAAACGGCGAAAATTTGATTTCCTTTATGCTGTTAAACACCACATCGACGAATCTAATCGGGTTTAAAGGAAAATTGGCAGCCCCGATTTTATTCAAAAATTACCCCGAAATTCTTTTTAATCTCAACATTAATCAGGACGTTTCGAAATTATTCCACATCCACATATCAAGCGAAAACAAGAATTTATTCGAAATTAAATGGACCTCGAAGCTAGAAAACGGCCTTTACCAAGCTTATTTTAAATACGCCTCCGATATTTCCCTAGGAAAATTAAAACGATTCGAGATACAACCCTCATTAAACATGTGGAACGATTTAAGCATCAAAATTAATTATCACGATAATAACAAATATTTCATCGAACTCGTGATCCCCATCAAAACGTTGGACACGAAATTTTTGATTGAATACCCCTGCTTAGATTATCAATGCAAATATTATTTTTATATAAATAGGACGCTTATTGACATAGATTGGGAGGGGTTCAACAAACTAAAATTATTAATTAATTTAGAAAATAAACAGATATTGTTCGAAAATAACGATAATTATTTAAAAGGGGGGTTTATATACAACGAAACAGAAACTATATTAATATATATAAAATCGAATTTAATCCAAAACGAACAAAAATTTTTTTATAAAAACAAAATCGACGAAAAAACGTTAAAAATTAATCTAAATTCATCCCAATACTTAATTGAATACAAATTAGACGCAGACTCCAACAAAAATTTTAACTTAAACTTTAACGAGATGATCAATTTAACCGGATTCGTTTCCAACGATTTTATTAATTTCGTTTTAAACAATACGGTCACTTTAACCAATTTAACTTTTACGTACATCGACGAAAACATTTATTTTAACATTAAAAACGAATTTATTCCCAACACGCCGAGTGCCCGCGATTATTCAAACGATTTATTTTATTATTTATTCGAATTCTCGAAAATCATTAACATCCCAATTTTAGAAAAAGAAATTATTTTCGAAAGCAACAACTTCAACGACTCCAAATTAATAATAAAAAATAAAAACGACACCGATGAATACATCATTAAAAAAACACAAAGTAATTTATTAATATTTAATAAAAATTTAAATATTTCTTTTGCGTTCGATGACTCAAAGGGGTATTTCCGCCAATTAATCGTGAAGAATTTTAATGGGGCGTTAAATTTAACTTTGGGCGTAAAAAATGATTTGGTTGAATCGAAATTATTAATCGATGATTTATTGGGGTTAAAATTAAATTTTCAGTTTGATTTAAAAAAAAGTAATAAGCTTTTTTACCAAATTTATTTAATTTATCACTTTGAAAACACAAATTTTAATTTATCCCTAAATGTTTCATCGCACAAAAACGACGTCTCAATAAACATGAAATCATCATTCCCGGGATACCACGAAATATCTTTCGAGGGAAAAATGATTCCCATCAATTCAACTTACCAACTTGATATGGTGTCTAATAACAAAAACATAACGCTTAATTTATTATTAGACGCCGATTTTAACCCGAAAAACATCAAAATCGATTTTGATACAAACAAATCCGCCGAAATTTACATCGATTTATATCGCGAATCTTATTTTAAAACGAACGATTTATTCATCCAATACAACATAAATAATAAGTACCTCTTTAAATTAATTTATTCCGAAATCATATTCGAATTTATCCACGAAAATAACGAAGGGGAATTATTCATCGAATTACCCCAAAAATCACAAAAATTAGAATTATCATACAAATTATGGGACCATTTCAAATTAAACAACCCCCAAAACATATCAATATACTTATCAAAAAATCAAATTAACATCATAAAAAACGAAATTGAAATAACATACATAAACAATTTCACCACTTTTTGTTTAAAATATAAAAATAAAAATTTATTATACCTCTTAGAATTATTCAAAAACACAAAAAATTTTAATTTCCAATTTAACGATTACTCCAAAATCGTGTATAACCTCAACAATGACCACAAATTATTAATTTTTAATTTTAAAAATTTGATCGATTCAAAATTTAATTCGTCGAAAACATTAATCGAGTTCAAAGCGATCATACCGAAATTAAACGACGTTATTTTACACGGGAAACTAAATCGATCGAAATTATTCGCCGAAACGATTTTTAAATACCAACAAAACAACGAAAGCTTAATCGCGTTTAATGAATACCACGATAGCACCAAAATGGGCATCGTTTTTAATCTACACCATCTTTACATCAAATTAAACCACGAGTATCAAAATTCAAAAATCACTTTTCACCTTAAAAATAATTTTAACGAAATCGTTTACGAATTTTCTGATTTAACCAATTTAAACTTCACCATTAAAAATATTAACATAATTAATAACGGATTTAGCATATCAACATCGATTCATTTATTGCCTTTAAACGTTACATTTCAAATTTATTCTTTCAACAATTTATTTACCAAATTTATTTGTTACGCTAATAAAAATTCGTTTTATTTGAATTTTATCGCCCCGCAAAATCAAATATTAAATTTAATTCAATTCGAAACGATTTGGGGGCACCAAATATTCAAAACGTTAAATAAAATTCAAATTGAATCGAAACAAATCGGGAATGTATCAATAATCGGTAATTTTGATCTCAAAAAAGACGGCTTGGACATCGAAACCCACCTAAAAATACCATTTTTGGATCATTTTAACGAATTGGACGGCGAGGTTCATATCCACAAAAATTTAGCACCTTTTTGCAACTTTTACATTAATTTACCCAATAAAATTAATTACTCGGTTAAAGCTATTTATTTAAACGATTTAAACACCTTCACGATTAACGTCGATTTTAACCAAATTTATTCGGGGAAAATTGATTACAAAAAAAATAATTCTTTTATTTATTTTAATGTTATAACCCCATTCGAGGGTTATAAAAATTATAGCGTCGAGTTTAATAAATACGATAAATCAAAATTAGTAATTTTGAATTTAAACGAACGAATTTATTGTTTAAATGTTTTAAATAATATTAATATTTTTAGTGTTAATTTAAAAACGCCGTTTAAAAACTACGAAAATTACTTATTTAGTACCGAAATTGATGGAAATAATTTTAGTGTGTTCGTTTTTTACCCCGGGGTAAAACGGGCGGTTGGATTTGGGGTTAATTATGTTTTTGATTTAAATCAGCTCGGTTTTGGGGTTAAAATATCGTTGCCTTATAAAATAAATAATTTCGAGTATTCTTCTTTGGCAATAAAAATAATTAAAACAGAAAATAATTTTAACATCTCAACTCTGTCAGAATTAAACGACCGATTTTTAGAATTAAATTTGTTAATTAATTCGCAATTTTATTCGAGGATAAAAACGAATAATCACTCAATTATTTACCAATTAAATAAAAACGATTTAGAAAATTATCTTATTTACGATAACAAATCGATTTATCACTTTAATTTTAATAAGGATGTAATTAAATTTGAATTTTTTGATTGTTACGGTTTTCACTTCATAACAAACGGCTCGAATTCGATTAATTTCCAAGTTGGGTTTTATTTGCCGCAAAAAAAAATCGTTTTGGCTCAAAATTATTTCAAAAATTCGACTTATTTCGTATACGACGGAAATTTATTATTAAACGACCAAAAATTGTATCAAATTCAAACTGATTTAACCCAAAAAAAAGGATTCGATTTCGATTTCAACCTCAACCTCAACTCGAATTTCTCGAAATTGCGCTACAACGTCGTTTTGAATAAGCGCCACGTGGAGTCAAAGTTTTTCATCAACGGATTAACCCACGATATAATATTCCGGATCGATTTCTCAAAATTAGAAATTCCCTTCATTTTCGTGTTAGAATTAGAATATTCCGGCGATAAAGACAAAATGGTGCACTTAGAGATATTTTACAATAAAACTTATATTGATAACGAGACGATCGATGAACGAAGGTTGATTTTGAGGCACCCCCATTCGAGATTAGACCACGCGTTTATTTCAAAAACGATCACCTCGAACGAATACATCAAAATCAACGCGATCATCGAGTACAAAAATTTCGCCGAAGACACACCCGATTACATGAAGATATCTTTCGATATAGGCCGAAAAGAGTTCGAGATAACCACCAAAGTCGAGTCAAAAAAAAATTCGCTTTTTATATTCGGAAAATCGCTAACTGAAGTTTATTCGAAGGGGTTACAAATAAATTTTAAAATCAACAACAAAGAACCTTTAAATTTAAACTACCTCTACGTATTCAAAGAGGATTCCCCTTCGTTTCAATTCCTCATCGGATACGGAGAGCGATTTTACCAACTTTTCATGGGAATCCCAAACAACAAAGAAATAAGAGCCGAATTAATCCACAACGTTTACGGGAAAGAAACAATAGACGGCCTAATCATTTTAAAACTAAATACAACCTCCCTACTTTGGACCAAAATCATTTGGAACTTTAACGTTCACCACGAATTCGACAAAATAATCGTCGATGAATACAAAGACTTAAAATACATCATCCAAACAATCGGGAAACAATTAATCGACATTCTAAACGACGAAACGGGCAAAATCATTCTAAACGAATACAAAGCAATTAAAAAAAATATCAAGTTCAAAATCAACTTTCCCAAAAAATTCGAAAAAATTCAAAAAGCACTCGAATCCATCAATTTAATCCACATAAATGAAATTAACATAAAAAAAATAAAAGAAATCGGAAAAAATTTGTTGAATAAAAGCCTCGAAGACGTTAAATTAAGCCTAAACGATATGAAGAAATTAACGAAATCGCTTTCGAACGATTTTATTAATTATTTAACAAAAATAAAACGTTCCTTCTTAACGATTTTTCAGCCACTTATCAATTTAATAAACGAATCTTCGATTTATTTCGAGCAACAAAAAACTTACATAAACGTTATTTTTGTTGAGACGATATTTTCAATCGAAATGTACGTTTACCAACTTCGCGAAGTAAATGAAATGATTTCGGTTTTTGTCAAATTAAAATCTTGGGTCTCGTCGATAAATTACATCGAGTTTTTTAACCCGCTTTGGGACGTGTTAGAAATAACAATAAATATTTTTGTAACAAATTTAAACCAATTCATTGATGAGTACATTCCGTTTAGTCGCGAATTAAAATCGTATTTGCAAATGATAACCCCCAAAATCCGAGAGATCAAGGAGTTTATTGATGCGAGTTGTCAAAAAATAATTTGGTTTTGGAATTATTACGACGTATCAGGAAATATTAAGAGTTATGTTTGGATGAGGACTTCGTATTATTCGCAATTGTTTATCCATAACACGTTTGGGAGCACCAAAGAAGGATTTGGAATTTTCGATTATATTTATCAACCCGAAAATGGGATGTTGGAGATAACTCAACGATTACCGGTTGAGTGGGAGTCGTTTGATAAATCCCCGCAGTTTGAGCAACACCCGCTTTATAACCACATTTATAAAAAAATTAGCTTGTTAACTTTGGACCAATTAGAACACGTCTTATCAAAAATCCAAATTTTGATTTACACCATTTTGCACACAACAATTAAGCCCCCCATTAATAATTACGCAATGCTCATCGCCGACAACCACTTTATAACATTCAACAACAAACACTTCCATTTAAATCCCTCAAAATCAAACTGCAGCTATTTATTAATAAACAACTTTGACACAAACTCATTTTCTGTTATATTGAACTCAAAAAATGTTAATTCAACATTAAGCATAACAACGCACAACAACTCAATAACTTTCAACACATTCAAAGAAGAACCCATTTTATTTAACTCAAACCCGGTTGAATTCCCATTAATCAAAAACGACTTTTACATCCAACGCGAAGAAGAAAACATTATATTCGAAAACAATCAAGGTTTATTTATTAACTGCAACATGCACCACCATTATTGCACCTTCAAAGTTTCTGAGTGGCTTTTTGGAAAAATTAATGGAATGCTAGGAACGATGGATAACGAGCAAAACACCGATATCAGAAAACCAAACGGCTCCTCAATCATCGACATCGACGATTTCGCCCAAAGCTGGAGAGTCGAACAATGTTTAAGCGACAAAATAAAAATTAATAACACCAAAATACCCACGTTCGTTAATAACGCAATGAACTTAATTTGTTCGTTAACATTCTCAACGAGCAACTCAACTTTATCATCGTGTTTCCCAATAATCGACCCAAAACCGTTCTATGAAATGTGCCTAAAAAGAATTCGAATTAACTCCAACTCAGTTTGTTCTTCAATTGCTGTTTATAAACAATTATGTAATTATAAACACATTCAAGTTAAAATGCCTCATTTTTGTGGTAAGAAAACATCTTTTTATTTATTCTTAAAAATATAAATTATTTTTTGTAGCAAATTGCAACTTAAATAACAACGAACAAATTTTTGATGGACATAACCCAAAAACAACAGACATCGTTTTCATCCAAGAAGAAAATTGCCGAGCAAACACGCAAGAATTAACAAAAACTTTAAATCAAGCTTTAATTAAAAAAGGATTTTCACAAAATAGATTCGCCTTCGTTGTTTATAAAAAGAAATCTTTCATAGAAACTGTTCAAGGAAAAATATGGATTAATGACACGAATTTAATTCAAAATCAATCGATTAAATTAATAAATCAAGAAAATCAACAAAATCAAGAATTTTTATCAAAACTAGAAGAAACTCTAAGATATTCATCAAAATTAGAATTTCGTTTAGCAGTAAAAAAGCTTTTTATATTAATCCAATGTGAATCTTGTTCCGAAATTTCTCACTCCCAAGAATTATTTAATCTGTTGGGTGAAAAAGATATAATTCTCCACATTGTAAAACCCCATCCGTTTGAAAATCAAAATTACCTCGCTTTCGATTCACAAAAATCCCGCATAGACAACCACGGAGTCTTAAAGGAAATCGAATCCAACGAAAAAATGATCGATTCTTTGAAAGATATGTGTTGCGGATTAGCTTTATCCACCTCCGGCACCGTTTCTAAAGCAGTTTTGTTGGAAAAATACCAAGAGAAATGGGCGGAACTTGTTGCTGGGACGCTTCGAGAAAGTTCTTGTCAAAAATGTAGATGTATTCAAAAAGGAAATGGAGTTGGGAAAATCGATTGTAATCGCTGTATGTCTCCATTGGTCAAACAATTATTAAATGTAAGTTGTGAATAACACATTTATAAATTTTGAATGAATTTTTTTTAGGAATATGAGTCGCAGCATGTTAGATTGTAATGATTTAATGATGTATTATTTAATTTAAGATTGTATAAATTATGTTTAAACAAAAATAAAAAGTAGTTAATATCATAATTATTTATTAAACAAGATGTTGCCATAAAAGAGATATCAATTTATTACGATTACTTATTTAAAATTGATTTTTAAACAACTTTTATTCCAAAAATTTTTTAATCAAGCCCGATTAACACATTAATGTCATACCAGTACACAGCCTTAATTAAAAGAGATATCAATTTATTTTATTAAGATTACTTATTTAAAACTGAATTTTAAACAACTTTTATTCGAAACAATTTTTATTATAATCAACTTTTTTGGACAAACCCTATTAACTTAATTATTGTCATACCTATATACAGCCTTAATTAAGAAAGATATCAATTTATTTTGTTAAGATTATTTATTTAAAATTGAATTTTAAACAACTTTTATTCGAAACTATTTTTATTATAATTAACTTTTTTGAACAAGCCCTATTTACTTAATTATTGTCATACCTATATACAGCCTTAATTAAGATAAATATCAATTTATTTTGCTAAGATTATTTATTTAAAATTGAATTTTAAACAACTTTTATTCAAAAAAATTTTTATTATAATCAACTTTTTTAATCAAGCCCGATTAACACATTAATGTCATACCAGTACACAGCCTTAATTAAAAGAGATACCAATTTATTTTATTAAGATTATTTATTTAAAATTGAATTTTAAACAACTTTTATTCGAAACAATTTTTATTATAATCAACTTTTTGAACAAGCCCTATTTACTTAATTATTGTCATACCTACATACAGCCTTAATTAAGAAAGATATCAATTTATTTTGTTAAGATTATTTATTTAAAAGTGAATTTTAAACAACTTTTATTCAAAAAATTTTTTATTATAATCAACTTTTTTAATCAAGCCCGATTAACACATTAATGTCATACCAGTACACAGCCTTAATTAAAAGAGATATCAATTTATTTTATTAAGTTTACTTATTTCAAATTGAATTTTAAACAACTTTTATTCGAAACTATTTTTATTATAATCAACTTTTTTGAACAAGCCCTATTAATTTAATTATTGTCATACCTATATACAGCCTTAATTAAGAAAGATATGAATTTATTTTGTTACGATTATTTATTTAAAATTGAATTTTAAACAACTTTTATTCGAAACTATTTTTATTATAATCAATTTTTTTGAACAAGCCCTATTAACTTAATTATTGACATACAGCCTTAATTAAGAAACATATGAACTTATTTTGTTACGATTATTTATTTAAAATTAAATTTTAAACAACTTTTATTCGAAACTATTTTTATTATAATCAACTTTTTTGAACAAGCCCTATTAACTTAATTATTGACATACAGCCTTAATTAAGAAAGATATGAATTTATTTTGTTAAAATTGAATTTTAAACAAATTTTATTCGAAACAATTTTTATTATAATCGACTTTTTTGATCAACCCAATTAACACCATCAATATTATACCAGTACATAGTCTTAACTAAAAGAGATATCAATTTATTTTGTTAAGATTATTTATTCAAAATTGAATTTTAAATAACTTTTATTTGAAACAATTTTTAATACAATCAACTTTTTTAATCAAGCCTCATTAACACGTTTCTTTTAATCAAATATGGGCAATGAATGACATAAAACAAGATAGGAATGATATAATGGATTTATTTATTATCAAAAATTGAACATAATCTCTTTATAAAAACAACGAGCAATAAAAAACATAAATTATTCTATTCGTGATTATAAAAAAATAATTTAATTCAAACAAAAACGAAACAAAAATATTAATTACAATAAATACTATGGCAAAACGGAAATTAACAAAACAGTATTTTTTGCAAATCAATATCATAAATGATTTAAATGTGTATTGTAATTATTAAATTACTGATCTGGTTTTAGAAAATCATGATCAATAGGGTAATTTGCAACATACTCTAAATTTGGAATGCAAATTTTCGCATGGTTTCGAATAAATTCTTTCCAAATGGTGGCCTTCTCAGCCTCCTTATGATGGAAATAGGAACCCCATGTTTTTGATGACAACAAATGTTTTTCTTTATGACATTGATTGTGTCCATAAACTCCTTCAGCTTCCAGTTCTTCACAAATAGCTACAGCATCACATTGACCATGGACGGCTGGTGCATAAACGTCTTGGATTATATTATCACCAATATAAACTATTTTAGGATTCTCTTTCCCACATGATTTTGATAAGAAGCTGTACAAACCCTTCCAGTTACCATAACTATAAGAACTACCCCGTTTAAGTTCTGCATCGGGTACTGGATCGGTTTCTTCTATCCCATTGAGACCAATAAATTGTCGGTTTTCTGTAAAGAATCCTGGTTTTTTAGCAAAAAATATAATGATATGAAAGTGATCTCTCCAATTTTTTCCCATTGCGTTTTCGGCAGTGTGAGAAGCAAAGTCAACATTTGAGCCGGTGATAAGAAATAACACTTTCTTATTAGATCTTAACTTTTCGAACCAATGAATAAGAAGTTCGCTGCATTTATGGATATATTCCTCGGGTTTATTTTTCATATTTGGAAAATAACCACCTTTTTCTAACATAAAATGTTCTTTTTTAAACATATAAGTTAAAGCTTCAACAATATCCGGCCAAATTGAGTAACTATCAAGTTTCTTATTACCATTTTCCTCATCCAAAGTATCAACAATCCTTGCAAATACTAAACCAGCAGGCATATCAAAATAATCTAATAAGGTACGTAATTGCTCTGATAAAGGGCCATTCCAGGTATGTAAAGGATCTTTTGCAAATGTATCTGTTACATGCCATCGACAATCTTCCCCATAATATTGCTTTAATTCATTTCTAGTTAATTGCTTTGTACCATGACTTCCATGAATGATGTGGGCATTTGAGTCAATTCTAAGTACATTACCGTTGTAAACGTCCAAAATTAAGCCTTTTAACATAAAGTCTATGTCATCTTCTATGGGTAATGACAAATATTTGGGTGAATATCCCTTCTCGTCCACCATAAACATAGATAATACTTCGTATTCTAACCTTACCATATTCAATACTTTATATCTACATATTGTATTATCTAAATCGAAGCCGATGCAATCGTAGTCGGTGAATTTAAAAGTTTCGTGTTTAGTTAGTTTTACATTCATCGTACGATTTATTTTTATTAATCGTTTATCCGCGACGTAACTTCTTCGACTGACGCTAAACACGCTGTTCACATGACACTCACCAAAACGTAATCGTCTGAAACTGTTCAAACAGCAACGCACTATCAGCAACATATCTATCTGTTATTTTATTTTCAAATTTGCACTAACTAAAGTGTTATATATACATATAACATATATTGAATGCAAATAAAATGTTAGTATTAAATTAAATTTGCAGGTAGTAAATGAGATTAGTTTCTATCTGCGGTGAAGTTATGAAGTTGAATTCGATTTGTGGTCGTTTTTTATTTTTGGGCACAAGGTTACGTTATACTCGTTATAGAATAGTGCAAACGCGTGCCGTTTTATAAATGTGTTTATTTTATACGCTTGAAGGATAAACGGACGTTTTCATTTTCAAAAAAATCTTTACTCAGCGCGCTTCGAATCCTATTCTTTTCGAATATCTTTGAAGGTTATGTGAGCCTAATACTTTTGAGACGTTTCGTCGAACCCCGCTGATCGTTAGCGGGAATTGAATTTTTCTAAAACCAATAAGATATTTAATAATTCACCTCCAACCTTTCTGCTCCTCTGGTACCAAAGAAACTTCGTGGGTATTCCAAGAGTTCGAAATTTTTCATTCTTTGCATTCCATTCTACCGCTTTACCGTTAAGTTTTTTTAAAATATTTTATGTGGCGCCATCTCGTTGTGTTTTTATACTTTTTATTACACATCATTTTATTGCAAGGATTGGGTCAGAAAAATAATTAATTACATTTTCTTTTCGCAATGTTAGTGAAAAATCGATTTTAATAATTGTCAATCTTTATTTTGTAACCTTAAAAAAGTTTCATTTGTTATTTTTTAGAAATGAATTTGTAAAATAAATAATTATTAAAATAGAAAGTTATCTTTTATTTTAAATTTTTTATGAACGTCCTCTAAATTTTGATATGACAAACATTGAAAGACCCTTGCAGCTCAAAGGTCTTGCTGGGAATAGGGAAAATATCAAAAGATGCAGCCTCCAAACTATGGGATATGGCTAAACATCAGAGAGCTAAGAAATTTTACACCTTCATCACTACAGAAAGGAAAATTACTGCAAGAAGGGAATCCTTACAACAAAAAATAATATCACTGAAGAAATCGATGTAATAGAATAAGTGCTACTATAAAAATAAACCACGATTTGGACCAACTTATGAATGCTGCAGACATAATACGTCACAAAAAAGCACAAATGAAGCTGAGATATCTGGAAATGATGCAGGGAGACAGAGGAGTGAAGCGAATTGTGCAAAAACACCACAGCAACAGTCCAGATCAAAGTCCATACAAAAATCTGTATTGCTGGAAGAAGAACAAGAAACTCCAGCAATGATTTAATACTTAATAACATATTGATACTTAAAGATATAAAGAACAATACTGATTGGGCTGGTGGTGAATCAAAACAAGTTAATAAAATAGCGCATGAAGTGGTAAGACATCCTCTGGAACTCTGGTTGCTTACAGCAATTGGCACCAATGAAATGCTAGTTGGGCACTGTAATTTACTAGTATCACTTCTGCTATCCTCCACAGCAACTCAATTTGGGGGAGAACCTCAACTTTTGTTATTTCATCAACAGCCAGATTGGTGACTCAGCTTTACTCAGTACATATCGAATGCACTAGATGGTCGAATTTAATTTCTTGGACCATGGTTTGTTGGTTGAAAAGTTGGAGAGGTTTGGATGTGATCACTTTCTCACACGACTTCTAGTATCTTAGGTATTAATCGCAGACAATACGTTGAGTTAAGTGATATGAAGTTAAGGCAAATACATGTTACTAGTGGAACACCCTGTATCTCCAAAACAAAGCGTTTGTCGACCTATGTTTATATGAAGTATTTATGTTAATTTTAAAAGATCTTTCGACTGTTAAAGTCCTGCTACAAAAACCTGAAACACCATGTATAAATGATTTTCAATACGAATTCGGCAGTTATTGTGTCCTGTCTTTCCAACCGCAACCAAGACATCAAGAAGACCGCCTGATCATGACTCGACTTGTACTCAGCAGGCTACTAGCGGCACCATGAATGTTATCTTTATTTTAAAATTCCCTCAATTGATAAGCGGATTTCAAATAATTAATAGCAAATTTGTTGTTCTCCCTTGGCTTCTTTATCTCAAATCCTTGTTTTATACTTTCATTATTTGCAAAAACAAATTTGAGATGATACTTATTGAGACTAAAATTGAAAAAAACACAATTTTAATAACATCTTTATTATTACAAACATTTTATTATTGTTTTTAGAGTAATTTGATTAATTAATAATAATTTTTTTTAATCAAATAACGCAATAAAGCAAATACTGCAATTTTAGTTAATACTCATTAAAATACTAACACAAATTCTTTTCAAAAGCAACATTGACATAAATTGTTTTAAAATTTAACAAGATTCAATAGCAATGGCGATTCCCATGCCACCTCCAATACATAAAGCAGCAACTCCCTTGGATTTGTTTAAACGTTTCATGTTGTAAATCAAAGTTACAAGAACCCTGGCTCCAGAACACCCAATTGGATGTCCCAAAGCAATTGCTCCTCCAGCTACATTTACTTTCGAAGGATCTAATCCTAATTGCTGATTAACAATAATCGCTTGGGCGGCGAAAGCTTCGTTTAATTCAAATAAATCAACGTCGTTAATTGACCAACCAACACGAGTCATCTAAAACAAATCATCAAAAAAAGCAATCATCAAAATTTTTAATTTTACCAATTTTTTAACTGCAGGAACTGGTCCTATTCCCATTTCAATTGGTTCGCATCCGGCTTGAGCAAATCCAACAATTTTAGCTAATGCAGTAAGATTTTTTGATTTAACCACATCAGAATTACATAAAACCAACGCCGCGGCGCCATCGTTTATTCCAGAAGCATTTCCCGCTGTAACTGATCCCGTCTTTTCAAAAGCTGGTCGTAACTTAGTTAAACTCTCCTTTGATGTATCCAATCGGACGTGTTCGTCCTTTTCGATCGATCCCAATTTAGAATCAACAACGGCTACAATTTCGTTTTTAAAATAACCGTTTCCAATAGCTTCGGCAGCTCGTTGCTGGGAAATTAACGCGAAATCATCTTGTTCTTCGCGACTAACATTATATTTATTCGCTAAATGTTCAACTAAAAATTTTCAATATAAAAATATAATTAATAAACTAAAAATATAACATACTAGTATTCCCCATATGTAATTTTATTAATGGATCAACTAAACCATCAGCTAAAATCATATCTTCAAGGGGTGAAGTTCCTAATTTAACTCCATTTCTTAAAAAAGTACAATGTCTCGCTTGGCTCATATTTTCCATCCCCCCGGCGAGTACAACGTTTGATTCCCCACATTTAATGGCATTGTAACCGTCATAAACAGCTCTTAGACCAGATCCACAAACCATATTAACAGTCCTTGCGGTTACATCAAGTGGAAGTTTCGCATTTAGACAAGCTTGTCTTGCTGGGTTTTGCCCATGACCTCCCATTAATACTTGGCCCATTACTACTTCATCTAAATCAGAAGGGTTTAACCCTGATCGTGTTAAGGCTTCTTCTATTACAGTTGTTCCTAATTTTATTGTTGGGATTGTTGAGTATTGTCCATTGAAGGCACCTTGAAAAAGTAAAAAACTTGAATAACAAATAAGGCTAAAAGGTTATTTAATTTGCATTTTTTTATGTTTATTTTTAGTGTTAAAAAAACTTGCTTTGAAGGTTTCTATTACTTCACTGTGAAATTTGATATCATTAATGATATATCTAGTACAAATAAACATCCTGGTCTTTTAATAACTTACCAATTCCTGTACGGCAAGCAGATACTATGTAAACTTCAGTCATGTTGATTATTTGAAGTTCTATGTAATAAAAAAATAAGAAAGTTAGTATAAATCAACATTTAAATTATTTAGTGAGAGAAAGTTTCAAATTGTGTCATGGATAGACTAAATAAATAAGTGATAATTAAGCAAATGATTACATAACAATACAAAATTATTTAAAATATTTTTAATAATAAAATAATTATTTATAATTTTTTAAAACATACCTTCTATTAAATTTGAGATATAAAATACCTAGGTTATGTTACAAAACTAACGTGAAGTTCGTGCGTCACCGGGAGCTGTCACGAGTTACCATGATAAATCCCCAGCTGTGGCTTATATATGAAAATCCCTACCATTTTTACTCGTTGAGTTTCATGATATCCTGGTACAAAATATGAAAATTTGGCGTATGCGCCACAAGTAAACTTGACCGTGCCGATGATGCACGATCAAAAATTTCCTTTCAAAATAAATACTTCAACAAGAAATTTCTATGATATGAGATATTGAGATATTTTATTAATATTAAACTATTTTGGCTAAATTAATATGTAATTTATAAATTATGTTTTGTGTAAATGATTTATTTGTATTTAAATTTGGCGCTGATACATAACATTTTGAATTTATATTTTGCTTAGTCATTTTTTTATTTAATCTTTAACTTAGCTATTTAACCGGTTAAAATTATCGTAATATTTAACTATCTCTTTTGGTTGATTGATTAATTGATTTAGGTTGGTGCTGCCAAATTCAAATTAGCATATTAATACTAATAGTTTAGCTTGTTCGTGCTAATTCTCAAGCAGGTTGAGATGATTATGTACAAGACTAATACAAGGATCATGCGAATCCGAATTTAAAGATTACATAATGGCTACCAAGTCCCATCAAGTGTCTATCAGTTACACAATGTTTTTGTATCCGTGAAATTCGGGTTCGGCCGATGTCTTCGAAAACGGCCGTGATTGTTTTTTCAATGATAGAAATTCCTTGACAGCCATAAAATCTTCGCCAATTTTCTTTAGCACATCATAAATGTTTACATGTCTACAGAATATTAATAATTTAGTAGTTTTCATCCAGGTTGGTATGTCTTGGGATGCAGATCATGTACAAAACTGTCTTTAAAGACATCAGCCGCCCCGATGCATTTTAGATACAAGGACCATGCGAATCCGGATCCAAAGATTTCATAACGGCTACTAAGTCCTATCAATAGTATCTACCAGTTACACAATATCTTTGTGTACGTGAAATTCGGGTTCGGCCGATGTCTTCGAAAACGGCCGTGATTGTTTTTGCAATGATAGAAATTCCTTGGCAGCCATAAAGTCTTCACAAATTTTCTTTAACTCATCAGAAATTCCTACATGTCTACAAAATATTAATAATTTAGTAATTTTCATTCAGGTTGGTATGTCTTGGGATGCAGATCATGTACAAAACTGTCTTTAAAGACATCAGCCGCCCCGATGCATTTTAGATACAAGGACCATGCGAATCCGGGTCCAAAGATTTCATAACGACTACTAAGTCCTATCAATAGTATGTACCAGTTATACAATGTCTTTGTGTCCGTGAAATTCGGGTTCGGCCGATGTCTTCGAAAACGGCCGTGATTATTTTTGCAATGATAGAAATTCCGTGGCAGCCATAAAGTCTTCACAAATTTTCTTCAACTCATCAGAAATTCCTACATGTCTACAAAATATTAAGAATTTAGTAATTTTCATTCAGGTTGGTGTCTTGGGATGCAGACCATGTACAAAACTGATCACCACGATGCATTTCATATATAAAGACTATGTGAATCTTAACATTTCTGTAATGATACCACTCTGCCTATCTTTATTTTGCATAAATCTACACTTCAACAGAACGGTAGCATCTGGTGGTTTACTCACGATCTCAAACCTGAATGAAGGTCCCATTGGATGCCATAAAAGTGGGAGCCCATAAAAACCCAACCTAACTTAAGCCGTCTAATTCAAATCAACCCCAATCTTAATATAAATTCAAATATAACTCAAAATAATGAAAGATTGATGAAAATCTCGATATCGAATTAACTGTATCATTACATATTTAATATAAAAAATTGCTAGAATTTATCAAAATATCAGTGGCGCTCCCTCTGGGCATAGGAAATCGAATTAAACCATATTTAAAAATTTGTGATTGCTTAAATTACAGGAAACTGTAAAATGTATCAAACTAAATAATGTTTAGTATTTACAAATTAATTTGATTAATGATTTTACTAAACCGCGAATAATAATAAAAAGTAGGAAAAAATTGGATTTTTACTTTAATAATATAATAATAAAAAAAATCTATGAAATCGCTAGAAGAATATTTGACGTGTAAGACAAGTGCTGCCACCACAACGTACCAAAATCCCATCGTCCGTTTATAACTTCACATTCTACATTATATTGTGATATGTCGTTTATGTGAGTGTGGTGGTGTTGTGCAGTGACTAGTGCCAAAATGGCAGAAAACGGTCAGGACAACTCAGATCAATTAAAAAACATTGGTAAGTTTGAACGTTTACGTTCGTCCAAATCCATTTGGACGTTTTTTTCATTGCCGGGGGGGTGTGCAACATTTTTTGCCCCCTGGTCCTCGTCCGGTTATATAATCTAAAACGTTTCAACAGCTGTAGATTGTTCACTTCCCGGGGTGTTAAAAAACCACAATTTAACAAGCCCACGGCTTTTCCATACAGAAAACCGCGTGGGTTTTCTTTTGATACGTTAAAATATTCGATTCTTAACTGTATATTTGTGTCGGGAGAAGTCACAGAACATGACCTCGTACCGCTTTTTTTTTGTTTTATTGTACAGGAGTTACACCCCGGACAGATATATTTAATACATGTTAATATCTTGAATCGTGGTGTATGTTTTATATATCAATAATACGTATTGATTTATTTCGTTTCTAGACGGTCAGGTAAAGTTAATATTTGCCGGTTCATTTAGAAAAAGAAAAATGTCACCGTTTCTCGTTAACCATAACCTCTAAATTGTATTCTATGTACAGGGTGAATCAAAATTATTTCACCTATTAATCTATTAATATGCATGTTTGTGTATTAATAATCCTTTTTATATCATTATATTAATCATAAGTTAATAAAATTTTGGATGTTGAAACTTTTGATTCATCACTTACATCACTCAGTAATATATATTAATATATATATATTAATTATTCATGATTATTCTTATATTTTTAGGTGTGTTTGAGAGTAAGTTGGTTGGCGCAGAACCTAACCTTAAAATATGCCGTTTTCAATTCTTTGTTTTCTGTAGTGCGTCTGCATTATTTTTGGAAACACTCAACGAAATACCACACGGAACATTTCCCGTTTTATCCCATGGATTTGAAGCATTTTAACGCCGGTTTGGGACGTTATCTCTCACGTAATCGACTGTTTTAGCAAAATTTATCGATCGAAATTTTTATTTAAAAAATACGTTTGTTATCGTTTCAGTAGCCCTCGATATGAAACATGCATGATTCATTATCTTTTAGCGTTTTATTTATGACAAGTTTTTTTTATATATATATTATGATAAGAATGTTGAAGGAAGGTTTTAAACGTTTAATCGTGAAAGTTCTTTAAATGATTTAATTAAACCAATTTAATACGGATGGAACTTACAATGTCTATTTTTAAAACATAAAAATTCCGGCCGAAAATAATTAAAAAGCAAATTAATAGAAAGTTGTCTTTCTATTAATTTAACAATTTTATTACTTGTGTTGATGTGTTTCACAATTTTCGAAATAAATTTATGACAGATTATAAACATTTCAATATCTTTTTATTGTAAATGAACAGATGGGACTCATGTTATCTGATCAAAAATAACTTCAAATATAATAACAACAACAAAAATACTGAAAAAAATAAAAATGAAGAGAAAGCCGTTCCTCGCTTAATGTACAATTTATTGTTACTATTCGCCGCCGACTATAATTAGCGGCCACTTTGATTAATACTCAATGCTCAGGGCAACATATTCTATTGCTTTTGCTTTTCCCTCGATATTTTTTTATTCGATAAGGACGCTTTGTTTTAACTTTACCCTAAGGTAAAAGTCACGTACGCGTGTGTTCCAATTCAACTTACTCTCAAAGTCTACTAGAGAAACGATTGTTCTCTCTAATTCGTTAAATTCTCAGATTACAAACTTGAAGAACCTTGAAGGAAGAGTTTTTCTTTCTGCAATGAGTGAATAACTAACGGGACTTGTTCGATTACTCACGATGTTTCAATTCATTCGTCATCGCTCACATTTTTACCGATCAAAATTTTTATATTAATATCTATAAAACTATTAAAAAAATTATTTCGAAACGATTAGATTATTAACACTCAACATTTTTTTTTTTACTTTCAGTAGCTAAAAATAGTTTTAATGCGTGTTCGCGATTGTAGATGACTCTACTTAATCAGTCAACCCAACCTAATCTTCACCTACATCTTATATCTCTATGATAATATACTTTATTTAAAGTACAAGTTTATATGAAGTGCCACTTCCAGTTGGGAGACTTGGACTAAAACTTGAGAAATCTACAATTTTAGTGTAATAACCATACATCAAATTTCCTCACCGCAACTAATTGCGTTTTAGAGTTATATATATACGAACAGACATATAGCCAGAAATAGTCGAAATATGTATATTTAACTATTTTTAACTTTTTTGTAAGTTCTGAACCAAAACACAAAAAAAGTATCACCTGAATGATAACTGCCAACTATTACATACAGGGTGATTCTCAAGCTACACGCATAAACTTGAGGATTTATTCCTCATGGCAAATAATTACTATTAGGTGAAAAAAATGTAGTAACCACAAGCGCGGCTTAAATCAGGATTTTGTAGAATTGTCTCGGCAGCAGAATGTATCTTAATTACTGCTCAGTATTAACTATGGTTTTTAAGTGACCCCAAAGATAAAAATCATGATGTTTGAGGTCGGGCGATCGAGATGGGCAGACCATTGGACCACCTTGGCCTAACACATTATCTAGATGTCGCCGCACTTCCAACGAAAAATGTGGAGAACGTTATTGGTACCACTCGCAAAATTGTACTCGAGGGGGATGATTCACTGGTAGTAGGGCTTGTACACGTTGGATGTGAAATGGATGGAGTTGGTTGTGCCTAAATATATGCTGCTCTTCGACGACATTCAAAACGTCCTCGTGATTGACTATGTGTACAGGTCTTACCACGTTGCAAAAAGGATTCACGATATTTATCTACAAACCTTTCTGCATAGAGACGAGCCGCAAGCACAGAATTTTGCTGTGGTTCCCCGTATGTTAATAAGTTCCTCGTTAGAGAAATATAATATTTAATACCCTGTATATCACCCTGTATATGAAGACAATCATCAACTTAATATGTACATGGGTAGGCTAACTTTAAGATTATTATCTATCTAATTTCCTAACCTCTCCTCATCCTCCATCCAATATCTATTGATCATCTCTTCAATTCCCTATCCTGCCCTCTAGTTATTTCCCACAAGATTTTTTCTCTAACTATATACCCCGGCATCTCCTTAGCCAACCTCAACACCCACTTCCAGTACCTGGTTTGCACATCTTCTAACTGCCCTTGCTTCTTCCATCCCCATACATCATAACGCTTTTTATCAAGCATTATCCTCCTTTTTCCCACGTCGTTCCCAAATATCCTCTTCCCCCATTCCCAGACCTGTTCCATGTATAAACAGTCTCTATTCTGTTTCCAGACTTTGTTCAACATTTTTAGCGTCTTTCTTCTAGTGTGCCTCTTCAGTACTTCTCTTCTCTGGCTAATTCTCTTGTTACCTTGAAATTTTTCTGATTTCTGTTCAGTTTTTTTCTTCTACTACCAGTTTCCTTCCACTCTCCTTCCTTTCAATGCAGTACCTTATTTCTCTTTCTGATCTTTTTCCTTTATTATCAGTTTTCTTTCTGGCCAGTTTTTTTTTCTCATTCTAGTATCATTCTTTTATTGCTATTATCTTCTCTTTCCGTCTCCATCCCATCTGCTCAGTCCAACAAACAAACATTGTTTTATAACCAAAGGCAGCAATTTAAAAAGCTGTTCAAGTGTAGGTACTCTTTAGACAGACACAATCTCTTTACTATAGGTACATTGATTAAAGCATTATATTTAATCAGGTTTGAAGCTTGGATTTCTTGGAGCATCTTGATCTAATGTTGTAAGGTTGTTTTAATAAAATAATTTATATCTGTTTTATCGAAATTTCTCATTTAATATTTTACTTTTGTTGGAATTGTGCTAAATGAGGGCGGGGCGAAACTATCTCACCCTGACTGAGATTCACCGCGCATCACATTGTTTTTAGGATTTCGTTCCACACAATGTGTCGCATTGTCTCTTTTGAGGGACCACCATTTTGGAAAACTGATTTTCGGCGAAATATAAAATTATTATTTATTCTTCAAGCAATTGAGAATTTAGTCAATAAGTTGCGGTCACACGACGTTTATCGAGCGGGGATGCGCGAGGTGTGGCGAAAATCAACACTTATATGTTCTTTTATAGTAAGTGGCACATAAAGCGAATATAACACAATTACTTTCTCCCATATAGAGATAGTAAATATTATTTTTACTTTAGGAAAAACAAAAATGTTTCCTAAAATCGTTAAACTATATTATTGTGTTATTGCAGTTTATCTAGAGTGCGATATATATAGAGGTGATAATGACTAGGCTGAATTTCTAGCAATCAATGATTTCATAACAATTCGGCAATGTGTGTAAAACTTATCTTTTTGATAAATAACATCATAAACAATTTTAATTATTAGTTTTTACGTTTAAAGCCGCTCTCACTCTAAGAAAAAAATTAAAAATATATTAATAATAAATAAATTTTTATTCGAAATGCTTTCTCTAAATATGCCACGGTTTTCTAACAAGCTATGACTAAATATTTTTTTATTAACGAGACAAATGAGAGCGAAAAATTTGTTTGGGTTTTTATTAGGTCAAGGATTTTCTTGTTGTTTTAAGATTATTCTTTTATTATATTTCTGTTTAAGTGATTTCAAAAGTAAAATTCCCAGAATGTGAAAATAACCTTTAATTAAATTATTTTAATTCAAATTAAGGGTGTGTAATAAAAGAATTATTCTTTTTAGTCACGTTAGATTCGGTAAATTAAGTTTTTGTAAGTTATGAATCTTCTTGCCAATAGATGGCGTTAGTTTATAATTCTTTGATTTATAAAAAAAAATGGTTTAATTTAAGAATAGATTATTGACCATGTTTTTAATTAAGCTAATCGAGGGTGTGTACCAGAAAAAAAATGGGTTAAACGCAAAATGTTTAGTCTATAAAAATTTGCGTAATAACACAAAAAGATAACCAAAAAAGTGTGCTAAAAATTCCAAATTATTTTTAGCACAAAATAAAAGGTCATTGAAGGTGATCTCAATTAAGATAATCAAGGGTAAGAACTAACAGATTTTTTTATTAATAATTTAGTTTTAGAGATTATGGAGAGCGTATCGAGGTGTTCGCGTGGCGCTTTCTTGGAGGCGGTGATAACGCTTCGGTGGCGGTTCATAGCGTTCGCATTCACGAACGCAACATCGTTTTCGAAGCTCCAACTCCTCGTAGTTGGCAGTAACAGCGGAGACTTCGTACGGTAAACACCGAGTGATCAAGGCGACGAAACGTGCGCCAAAACGTGGACGTGCGGACGTCAAAATAAAACAATAACAACAAAGACACCGGGTGAAAGACGTCGCTTTCGACGTCTTATAGACATTAAAACGATTCGCGTTACCCGGAATCGGATTATTAAGAATCGTTCGAACTAGAAAAACAGTTCGATAATAAGGTTCCTATTTATAGACGGAGCACCAAAATACGCAACGTTGTGCTACGGTCCTTGTCGATAATGTTAACTTTAATATCACGACAAGAATCAAATAGTCAAATGGATAACCTGGATCATCTCTTTTTATTACCAGAAAGAGCACTTAGCATGGATGCATCCAGGTTACAAAAAGACTTAGAAGGACTCAATTTTGATCCGCGATTACTACACGAAGCCCCTATGGGGAATATATGGTTATGTAAGTTTTAATAAAAATGTTTAATTTTTTTGATTAATTAATTAATTTTTTTTTTTTGAAATGTACGATAACAATCTGGTGCTCAACTTATCGTGTACCGTCCGCTGCGTTTTCGTTTTACAGTTAAGATTTGTATAGCATTGGTATCCATAAGCCGCCAGGTGTAAAATGTGAAGTAGGACGCGGGCGTATATAGAATATCAAAATAATAATACCGACTACAAGGAAGAAAACTAATTTTTTTTCATTAATTAATTTTTTTTTCAAAAGAAATTTGTTTATATATATATTCTGGTAATCCTGTCCAATAAGGTCGATTTAATTAAATATTTACGTAATATAATAGGCGCGTTTTGTAAATCGCCCCACCGTACAATGTAAATCGTTAAGTACACGATATCTCTTTTACACCCATTCGACCTTCACTATTTTTTTTTTAACAAACCAATGCAACATTATTGAAATATTAGTCATTTTAATACGCGGAAAATATGTAGGAATAAAAAGAAATATTTCCAAATTATAATCAAATTTTCGAAAAAAAAAATAATATAATTAATTTTTAATAAAATTTATTAAAAATACAACACGTGTCATAAAACAACAACATATTATTTACCTCTTATCTTAATTTTATCTCGAATATTTTTAATACAATTTTGCAATTACGTAATATAACAAATTGTTTTATAAATAAACAATATATTATTACTTAAGGCTTTTAGCAAAGTATTTAATTAAATTGAAAAGTTAAAGATAAATTAGACGAGGTTGCTTTGAGATAGCGAGGGAGGAAGCGCAAAAGATAGGAATTCATGATTGAGGATATAACGCGACATATAAAGACTGTTGATTTATAGGAGAGTGATGTCAACTATTTGATATTATCTTAGTTATTTTTATCGTTTCCTTTAAATTAGGATTCTTAAAATGGCTTAAATACTATATTGTCGGCACCGAAATAAAAATGAAGGAAACAAGGTCGATAATAACTGTATCCTCTTAGAAAAAGGAAATTATCATAAGGATACATCTGTTTCCTTTGAAAATAAAACGTTTGCCATAAACTGGATTAGATGACCTTGTTACAAAAAAACGTTTTAAAAAGCAACTGCGAATACTGCCGGAGAAATTCGAGTGAAATTTTATTTGTCAACGAAAGTGTAAACAATTTGTTTCGTACGGAGAGAAATTCGAATACGGATCTTCTTTATTAATCCAGGTATACATTTTCTGGATCATAAAAAAAGTTTCTTCACGAATTAGATAACAATCACAATAGCTAATAGGTTTTTATAATCACGAAAATTTAATTGAAACCGACACCAAATGAATCGATAAAAATATTTTGCGAAAAGATTAAAGTTTTGTCATAAACATTTTCTTCATTTATTTTATGATTTTAATCTCTATAGTTTTGAAAGTTTCTTTATTTAATATATATATTATCGAGATAGCATGTCACTCCCTGTTTTATCTATAATGCTCATAGTTGTAGCGCCTCGGCCGTGAACGACCTCTATTACAATATCTCACTAAAAATAATACTATAATATTTGTTGTTGATGTAGATAAGTATAAAAGTAAATATAAGTAAAATAAGTATAAAAATTTAGTATTAATTTATTGTTGGTTTCTTAACGTGAGAATATTTTTGAAAAGTGTATTAAATTTAAGTTGAGAAAATAAAATGTTGTGCCATTAAAAACGCGGTATATAAATAGTGGACTATTGTTTGTTGTATATTGACGTCGTAAATGTGATTTTAGGTGTAGTTGCACATTTCCAAAGAAAACTATGAATCGTGGAATGACTTGGTGTGTCGCAATGACGACGTTTGTTTATTGGCTCGTTTTCGCGTCGCGCAATTAAATTTTGCGCTTGTTTTCTCCCAATGTAACAAAGAGAGATTTCACTCGACGTTTTTAATTGCGGCCAATAATAATAATAACGATAATTCCGATGAATCGCGAACCGGTGGCTATTGCTATTGCAATCGCGTGCGCGTCGATAAGCCATTAGATTATTAGATTAGTACATTGTTGTATTGAAAGTAGGGTAATGTAAAATTACCACACGGGCCGGTCCAATCTTCTCGAAGAGCGAGTTCGACTTTTTTTCTATATCTATCCATTTTCTATCCTTTAGGCTACTGCACACCGTTACGCGTTTTTATTGGGCGTTACGCGTTTTGTGAAAACGACTCCTGTTATTTCGATACTCTCTACTTTTTCTTTTTTTAACTTTTGGTTGACTTTTTGTTTATAAACGAGAAACGACCAAATTTAAGAGGAAGTTCCCCGTCTAACGGTTGCGGAAAGCTGCCGAAGGACTTTTTGCGCCTTTTTATAAGTGAAAAATTACCGACCAAGCACCGTAGAATGTCGACGCTTTTTGCCATGGTTATGCAATTCGAATTATGACACCTTGTACAGGATGTCCCCGTTTAAATTGACGCTATCTATCACCACCTAACAAGATTCTGACTAATACTTCTTTACACCAGAAACACTGTAACTCGTTAATTAATCAGCTATTAGTAAGTCCTAATTTTTCGGAATGGAGTTTTATCAACGTAATTGCCTCGATAAAAAATCACCTACTTTTCACACCACGCGGTTCTGACCGGATAATTTTTAAGGAATTCCAACGCCCGGCTTACAAAGGCACTGGAAAGTTTTTGTTATACTACTGTGTGCACAATTAAGACACAAACGTTTTCTAATTGAATTCCAACTTAATTCATTTCATTATCTTTAAATAAATCTACTCAAACCATTTTTTTAATTAATAATTCAGAAACAAAAAAGTCACAAATAACAATTAGAAATAATTAACACCGCTCGTATTTTATTCTAAAACGTAACCGTTTTGTTATCCAGTTATCCACATTTATTTTTAATTACTCTTTGATAGATCTTTTTAATTGCTTGGTATTATCGTTTTCTAATTTACCTCTACGTTATTTTGTTTTAACCTAATTGTGGTAAAATTTATTGAATTCTTCTATATTCATTACAATTTATATTTTATTATTATTATATGAGAAGATGTTTCTCTCTCTAGAAAGATCTAAAAAGAAAGTTAACTCGCATACTGATCCTTCAAGAAAAGTTTTTATTTTATGCTAATTAAAAACAATGCGTCAATAAATTTTTGTTAATGCTATAAAAAATGGGAATTAAATAAACGAGACGTATAATTGGTTGCACACTTGTACTTTTATAATAATTATGAAATGAAATTTTCCCATAACTTAATTACTTTGTTATTGTTGTGATTCACATTATTATTTATAAATTTCGTTTTTATTCTTCTTTAAAGTTAGAATGTCTTAATTTTTGTGATATCTCACTACGACATGTTTTTGCAAAAGTTTATTTTTTTGGAAATTGTAGGACTTTTTTTTTTTTGCACAACATCCCCTTATTCGTCTTTATGACTATTTCAAAGTTTTTTATTTTCTGGAAAACGATTTTGTCAAAAATTTGCTCATTTCTGTGGAGTTTCAAGATTACACTTAAATTTCTATATACAGGGTGCTCTAAAATTCTCTTTACAAACTTCTAAGACTTGTAGAAGGGATCTTTCTGCAACTTCTTACAAAATGATTCTTTTGTTATTGGTGATTTTTTTTAACACTTCCAATTTTCATATTTTTGAAAAAGTCTCTACATTGATGCATCTGGGAGCAAAAGTGTTGATGAGCAACCTGTTAAGGCTACAATTTGCTACAATTTTTGTTATAAAAGTTTTTCTGTATCACGCTTCGGATACCGATTTTTGTTAACACTCTTCAAATTTTCATATTTTTGAAAAATTCTCTACATTGATGCATTTGGGAGCAAAAATGTTTAAAGCATTGTGTTAAGGATACTATTTGCTACACTTTTGTTGTAAAAGTTTTTCTGTATCATGCTCCGGATACCGATCTTTTTAACACTCTTCTAATTTTCATATTTTTTAAAAATTCTCTACTTTGATGCATCTGGGAGCAAAAATTTTACATAGCATTGTATTAAAGGTACAATTTGCTACAACTTTTGTTATAAAAATGTTTCTGTATCATGCATCGGATACCGATTTTTTTTAACACTCTTCTAATTTTCATATTTTTAAAAATTCTCTACATTGATGCTTCTGGGAGCAAAAGTGTTGATGAGCAACGTATCAAGAGTACAATTTGCTACAATTTTGGTTGTAAAAGTTTTTCTGTATCATGCTCCGGATACCGATTTTTTTAACATTCTTCTAATTTTCATATTTTTGAAAAATTCTCTACATTGATGCATCTGGGAGCAAATATTTTACAGAGCATTGTATTAAGGGTACAATTTGCTACAACTTTTGTTATAAAAATGTTTCTGTATCATGCTTCGGATACCGATTTTTTTTAACACTCTTCTAATTTTCATATTTTTAAAAAATTCTCTACATTGATGCTTCTGGGAGCAAAAGTGTTGATGAGCAACGTATCAAAGGTACAATTTGCTACAATTTTGGTTGTAAAAGTTTTTCTGTATCATGCTCCGGATACCGATTTTTTTTAACATTCTTCTAATTTTCATATTTTTGAAAAATTCTCTACATTGATGCATCTGGGAGCAAAAATGTTTAAGGCATTGTGTTAAGGATACAATTTGCTACACTTTTGTTGTAAAAGTTTTTCTGTATCATGCTCCGGATACCGATTTTTTTTAACATTATCCTAATTTTCACATTTTTGAAAAATTCTCTATATTGATGCATCTGGGAGCAAATATTTTACAGAGCATTGTATTAAAGATACAATTTGCTACAACTTTTGTTATAAAAATGTTTCTGTATCATGCTTCGGATACCGATTTTTTTTAACATTCTTCTAATTTTCATATTTTTGAAAAATTCTCTACATTGATGCATTTCGGAGCAAAAATGTTTAAGGCAAGCAACGTATCAAAGGTACAATTTGCTACAATTTTTGTTGTAAAAGTTTTTCTGTATCATGCTCCGGATACCGATTTTTTAACACTCTTCTAATTTTCACATTTTTGAAAAATTCTGTACATTGATGCATCTGGGAGCAAAAATTTTCTGCAACTTCTTACAAAATGATTCTTTTGTTATTGGCTAAACTTTAGTAGCAACCCTAATTCGTGCAATTTCTTTCTATATTCTACATAATTTTGGCCAAAATTAACTTATTTGATTTTATGATACTCAAAGTATAAAAAGAGAAAAAAGGATACAAAAAAAGGTTTTTATTGAATAGTAAGCGTGGATCACCTGCAACGACGATGAGTTACGCAACGGTTTTGGAACGCCAACATCGTCGTCGACGTTGAACGTTGAATTTCCTTTCCGGAGATAAACAATCGTAAAGCGCGATAACTCACTTCGGGAGTCTTCGTGTCAACACTAAAATCAGTTTCGCCGGAGTCAGCCTTCCTTATAGGTTGGAGACGCGTGGGCATTAATATACATAGATTAAAACCAATAACAAATACCTGAACGGTGATCTACACACACTCATACTCAACACAAACCGTCGTTTGGCCGTTTTGTGCGACAGTTCATTGTTGATAGTTGAAGTGTCCGCGCGACGGTGGTGCATGCATATATGAAATTTGAAACTTTGTAATTTTTGTATAAAATAGTAAAATAATATGGGTACTGAAACTGATGGGAGAGGAATACCGAGTAATTCATTAGAACATTTAAGAAGTATTTTAGTGTCATCTTTGCCGCCTGAAAATATTGGCTTTTGTGATTATCAAGTTGGAGTGAAGTTAAAAGTAAAAGCGAATAATCCAACAGGTAATTTTTTCAATTATCAACGTCATCGCCGATGTTGCCTTTTAAGTCCTGTATTCTAATGTATTCGTCGCTCTCTCTTCGCGAGCCTTCCTAATCGTAGGTGTCACGACCTTGCTTACAAGGCGAAGCTATAAGTAACCCGATAGTCCAGAGACTGACGACGATATCGGAGAACGATATCGGAAAAGAAAAAAAAACCGAGAAGGAGAGGAGAGATTATTTCGAAAAACACCGCGCGCGTCAGCTGTTCCGTTTCGAGAAACGCGACGAGAAGTTTTTAATTGAAAATCGCGTAATGGGTTTCGCGTGTGTCACCGTCTATTTTTAAGTCCATATATGCATAAAGGACGTCGTTGAATAATTGGAAGAAATTGCCACAAGTGCAAGGTGCATTTCAATGCGTTGTTTTTATCGCGGATTTTAGATGGAAATATTTAATCATGGTCCACTAAAATCATTTATTTTTATTTATTTTTTATTTAAATATTATCGTTTCATAAAGTTGAATGAATGATAAAATCGATAACAATTGTAAACAGGAATATTGATAAAATTACAAATACATTTGATTTGGAGATAATTTATGTGGAAATAATATGTCATGGTCCACTAAAAATTGAACCAATTTTAGTAAGAACATCGTAGATAATTAATTTATATTAACTTTCCAACATCATTCATCCGTGTTAACTGTAAGCGCGACAAGGATAAAGCAATATTTTTATCGAAAAGATTAATAACTCAAAATTATGGTTTTATACAGTCATATCACGAACATGAATGTAAACAGAAATAATGATAAAGGTAATGTACCGTTCTGATAACACTGAAATTACGTGCAATTTGTTTTGGATATCGACTCAAAATAATTTAATTCTTTTTAATGACTAACTTTCCAAGAAAATTATTATCACAAATTTATGGTTTTATGGTTGTATTGAATATTTTGAATTGTAAACGGGACAAAATTTTTTATTTCTGCCTTGTAATACTGGAACGGTCGGATCGCATTTGAACGTTTTATAATTGCACCTTGTGCAAGTCGATAATAATAATATGGAGCCAAACCGATTTTCGCAACGGTCCCGATCGGAATTTAATAAAATCGCGGCAGGAATTTGAAAAAGGATGACGCAACGAGGCGCTGTCGTTGAAATCGCACGTCTTTAAGACGCCGTAAGAGATGCAATTAAGAGCACCCGAGAAAAGCTACTTTCTGATGCTCACGGACCATGCAAATACTACGCCGGTAAAAGCTACTTTTTGAAATTCTCCTCGTAGAAACTAGGAAATTCGTGTTTCTCGCAATTACAAAATGATTTATTTGGTCGTCTAACTCTAATTGTACGGGCAATTTGTTTTCTATAATTGAACAAGTTTTATACAAAAATATTTTTTAATTATTAAATATTAAAACTATTTTTTTTTATTTACAGCTGGGTCTCGTCCTTCATCAGTCGCAAAAGGTAAAAAATATTCCCCAAAAAAAAATTAATAAACACCCCTAAATTCACCCATTCTATTTTCTCCTCTTTCACGTCTCTTTCTACTCTTATCTGTTCTATGTTAGATGTTCCGTGTAATTTTCTAGGAAAAACCATGCATTGGTTTGCATATGTGGGGCCAAACCCCCCCGATTACGAAGGTAAAACTCTTGAAAGGGAATACATTGGAGACTAACAACTAACAAAACGCAGTTGTCTTTCGTTAAATACTAACTAGTGACAATTTCAACATACAGAAGAAATATGTGAATGTCTTATCTGTTGTGCAACATATGCATGTTGTGTTTTTTTTAAATTCCCAAAAAAAAATTAATTATACTAATTTAATACTAACTTTTCAGAAGATTCAAAATCCAGATTAAAATCCGTAAAGGAACGTGAAAATGAAGAGAGACAAAAGAAGCTGGATGAGCTTAAAGCACAAGCGCAAGCAGCACAACGTTTCAAGGAAAAGAAAGAGATGGAAAGGAAAATGCGACTTGAAGAAATGAAGTTCAAGGAGGACAACAGAAGGCAACAAGTGGAGGAGCGCAAGAAAATGATGAACGAGGCCGAAAGGGATCGGCTGGAAGCGATTTTAAGGCGCAATCAAGAAAGGGAGGCGCGAATAGAAGCGAAAAAACGCAACGAAAGGCATTCGATGGTGTTTGCGTTTGGTTCGTCAACACCTAGGATGCTCCAACCTACCGACTCCATAGGGTCGTTTTGGGGTCATCGTAGGGCGACCTCTACGCAGAATATCACCAGCGCAGCGGCGCCGTTGACTAGGAGACAGTCTGAGAGGGAACTTGACGGAGGTAGCAAGAAAAGAGCTACGTCCGCAGGTGGCCTCGAACGTTCAATAGAAGGTAATAAAATAAATGATAAAATAAAAACGCTGAAAGTAATCACTGAATCAAAGGCACCCTTTGTTTATATTTTATTTCGCGTCGTCTTCTGCAGTTTAGTTGGTAGACCTGTTTATTTTTACAGATATGCGAATGTCGTCGTCTATGTATGAGATCATGAACTGGGATAAGGCGGCCGTAGTCGACCGGCATATTTCTAGCACTGATCCTGCAGCTACCCTCGGTATAGATTCTCATCACGGTCTTAAGCCTAAATATTTTTTTTGGCCCGTAACTTGTTTTACTTTGTTCCGTTAACCATTTTGCTCCGCGATACGTTTCCTCCTGGCATGTTTCAAAATCGTTTCGCTTTATGACGTCTCGTACATATTTATTTTTAATTTTTGCGCTTTTTATACTCTTTAGTGATTTTGTTTTCATTTCACCTATATCGAATATTTAATAGCACCGGTTATATAATATCTGCATGGTATTTTACAGGGTTTTAAGCAAAATGTGTAACGTCCTAGATAGAAATGATTTAAAATAAAAATGTTGCGCTTTGTTTTCTTAACATCCTGTATACATCATATAAAATGTTCATTGAAAACTTATAAAGGTATTTTTTGTACGTTTTAAAATAAATTGTATTTGTATTGTTCCTGGTTTGGTAAAAAAGTAAGCTTGATTAAAATGAAAATTTGTTATTGAAGATGTGTGTTAAGGTGGGTGTGATATTAAGGTGTTAAAAATGTTGTTTTTAGTGTCACCGTCTCCTCAAGTCCCGGCCGGCTGCGCTAGTGGCTACGTAGGGCGTCGCCGTACGGACCTGATGCCGACCATTCCATCGCGGGAGTCGCCGTCTGCACCGTCGCGAAAATCGTTCACGCGCTCTCCAGGTAGGGCTTACTCGATGTCACGCTTAGACCAGCTGGCGAAGCCCCGCAAGAGGGCGGAGCTGCTACCGGCCCTGGCCGAGGCCGGACCTGCGTCGCCCCTTAGAACCCTAAACCGCTCGCAACAGTCCCCCGTTAGTCGTAGCATGAGCCACCTAAATGTTAACAAAGCTGGCCCTCAGCCTCAAAGGCCCTTACGCAAATCTGATAGCCGCAGCATGCACCAGCTCTCGGCCGTTGTCGGTCCGTTGCCACCTCCACGCACCACGCGTGCCGCCCAACTACGGCAACAAAAGCTTCTTGCTACCGGTAGTAACCACGACGGTAAGTACTCCTTCACCGGAAACAAAACTCAAAGAAATGGTAATCTAATGGTTCTAATGGTGCGGGCAATATTTTTTTATTACTGTTTTAATAATTTTTATACTTTTTCTCAAGAATATCTTTGCTTTAGCTTCAATATGGATCGTAAGTAATGCTACAATTTTCATCTCTAACTTTATTATTTTTTTGTTTAAATCAAATCAACGGTGGTGGCTCATATATACGTTTCCCCCTACACTTTTTTCAAATCATGTTCCAAAACATTTACTATGCACAATAGCTGCTAATGAATCACTGAACTAACAACATGTTTTAGAATAAATTTATTTATAACTCAGTAATCCGATTTATGATCGAAATTGTTAATACATTGTTGGAAATAATTCACGAGCACACCCTGTATAATCTAAACGCGTGTGTCTAGCGCAATGAAATTTGGTATGGAAGTTATACATTAATAACGAGAGTATTCCCGTAAGCAGCGCGTACCATCGCTACACGACGTGGCATAGAGTCGGTAAGTCGCCTCACCTCGCCTCCATAGCGACAGAAAAACTCGAAACTCGTCTATAGTATACCTTTATGCTCTGCAAATATTATGGATTTATCTTCACGCGTTCAGATTATATAGGGTGTGCTCGTGAATTATTTCCAACGATGTATGTCTTCGGATTATTGAATAAATAATATACGTGATTTCATCAACAATCCTTTAATGGCATTTTTAGCACCGTCACGACCTAGCAGTTCGTTAAGTCAACAAAGTACGAGTAGCATCACAAGTTCAGTCAATGTACGAATGAGACCGATAGCGGCACCGAGAAGACCTCGACCTATTAGCATAGCAGTAACCGGGATATCAACAAACGGCACACCAGATCCGAAAAAGTCAACAGCGGCTGTTGAGAAACCACCTTTACCAAAAATAAGAAAGTCCAGTCTTGTTCGATCGACAGAGAAGCTCAAGAAGAAATCGGTGGCATCACCAACAGATGGTTCCCCGAAACCTTTGGCGTCTCCGACAAGCTCGCAACAACAAACTACTAGCCCTGTCGAACCGAAACCTTTAATCAAAGAGAAAGAAAAACCAACCGTCGCCAAAGAGGTTAAAAACGATGATAATAAACCGGTTGTTGTTGCCGCTTCTATCATCGCAACGGAAGAACTTACGGTTAAAAATGAAATCCAAATCGATAATAGTAAAGATCTAACCGATACTACAGTTATTAATGATAATCTAATTATAACTGATAGTAACAAAGTTACTACTAATAGTGAAGTAATTACTGAAAGTACCGCACAGATTACAGAGTAAGTAAAATTAAATTAAAATATTAAAAGGTTTTTTTAATAAATTTTTTTTAGACAACTCGTAGATTTAACTTTAAGCGAAAAAGAAATAGTCCATAAAAATAAAGAACTTATTAAATCAGAAGAACATGAAAACGAAAAAGAAGCGATCGAAGAGAAACCAATTCCTCCGCAAAAGCAAATTGAAAAACAACCTGAAAAAGTAGCGGAGAAACAACCCGAAAAACAATCTGATAAAGAACTTGAAAATCAATCCGAAAAACAAACTGATAAACAATCTGAAAAACAATCTGATAAATTGTCTGATAAACAATCTGAAAAGCAATCAGAAAAACAATTAGAAACACCTGTTAAACAACAACAAACTGATGAAAAAATTGAAAATGGTACAATGAGTTCATCAACAATTGATTTTGGTGAATCATCAGAAATGACAACTTCAATGACAAAAGTGCGTATAAATACTGAAGAAGAAGCTAAAGCCGCTTTGGCTGAACGAAGACGTTTGGCACGTGAAGAGGCTGAAAGACAAGCTGAAATGGAACGTCAACGTATAGCGGAAGAAGAACGAATCGAACGCGAGCGACAACAGCGCGAAGAAGAACAACAAAGGTTATTGATAGAAAAATTGAGAGAGGAGGAAGAACAGCGGCTACAAGAGGCGATTAAAGAAGCAAAGAAACGAGCTGAGGAAGAGAATCAAAGGCGGGAAGAGGAAAACCGCATGAAGTTATTGAAAGAAGAATCCGAACGCCGAGCACGGGAAGAGGCTGAAAGACAAAAAGCCGAGCTGCAGGAACGGCTGAAAAATGAAGAAAAAGAGAGGGAGGCGAGGCGTAAAAGGGTTGAGGCTATTATGTTAAGGACTAGAGGGAAAAATAATACACCTCAACAACAGGTAGGAAAACGAAAATTAAAAAAAAATTTTTAATTTTGATTGTTTTTGTAGACTGAAGAAAAAAATGAAGAAAACAAGTCTGAAAAGTTAAACGGGTCAAAAGTAGATACGCCAGAAAATGGGCACAAGAACGGGAAAGATATAGAGACAGTCGATAATATGTAAGCGTAATCAAGAACGAAATATTAATTCCGTCGTAGAACTAATCTTTTTTAACATTTTAGAATACCAGTCGAAACATTGAAGAACGCTAACAACGTCGATAGCCTCAGTACAGATGATACGTTGAATTCAAACAACGCGTGGCAACACAACACACAGACTGGTAAATATTTTCTACACTTTATTAAACAAATTGGGCTTTATTTACAAGGTTATCCATTAATTAAACTTAAATATCAATGAGTCACACGTAAAGAGAGAGAGAAGTTAAGTCTTCCAGTCACGAATTCTTTTTTTGTTTAAATAAATTCATAGATCTAACCATTAATTAGAACACCGAGAAAGTAGGAGGTCAAAAAAATATTTAATGATTGATAATTCAACATTATATAACAACTAATTTATTTTTGATCCAGATAACCTTGTAAATATAACTAAGAAATTATCTAAAAATGTTTTTCTTTTACAGATTTGCTGATGTGAGTCGTCATATTAAAAAATACTTTAGGTGCTTGTGTATATGGAAATTTAATTGTTTAGATTTTTTAATGATAATACCGAAAGCGGAAAACGTAGAATTGCCGTTTGATTATTTTTTTTTCATTTTTCTTTTTATTTTTTGTAATGATAAAAACGTAGCGGATTGAAAAGAAAAAAAAATTAATTAATAAATCGTAACCGCGTTCATCGCTCCTGCTGTTATTATACATAAGAATTTTAAACGAATTTTTGAAATAAATTAATTAATTAATAGCGTACCATATCGTGAAGTTTGCGTGCAATAACGACTTATACCCATCTCGGCAATTCTATCGGTTTAATTCAATATGTATTTGACTGAGAACATTTTTTTATTATTTTTTTTTTGTATAATGATCCTGATCAAGAAAAAAAAACTGAAATGAATCGTAAAGTGCACAACATTGTTTAATATCTTTTGTATTAGTATATTTTCCCGCAATTGTTGCATCTGAGGCATTGTAATTTTATAATTGTTTTCTTTTAATTGCTCTTATTTATAAAAATCGATTTCGATAGGGTTAAATTTTTAGAACGGCATCTATAGTTTAAAAGTTGCGACTATTTTTTTTTAATATAATATAATTTTTTTCTCTCGGCGGTTGTGTTTGATCAGGATTTTCTGATTTATACAAAAAATATAACCCGATTGGATAAATATTAAATACTACAACAGGACTCGGTCTTAACTAGTCATCTTATTCTATGTTGAATTATTTTTTATATCTATCGTTTATAAGGTAACCCCGCTGATTGCTAATGTGGTACTAAGAAATAAAAAAAAATTCAATTTCAATAAAAAAAAAGAAAATAAATTAAACATGAAATAAGAAATGATAATAAAATTAATTATAAAATTTAAATCAGCATCTATTAATTATTCTCTAGCACAGTTAGTTTGTAATTTGTAGTTTATAGGCATTTTTTGTCAGGGTATTTTCAAATTTGCCTTGAGAGAAGTCTGTCGAGATCACATGTGTATGGGATATAAACGTAAATTTTTTTTCAATTTTGTTTTCTATTTCTTCGGTTAACAGTTTTTTGAAGTATAATAATATATATCTATGAATATAAAATTATGTGTATAGCCGTAATTACATGATGGTTTTTTAAATCGAGACCCTTCCAAGAATTATTTACACAAAAATCGTAATTTTATTTATTCATTTTTTTTAAATATATAATAGTATAGTCAAAAAACACTAAATTTGATTTACCGTACTCGGTGAATCAATAATCAACGTAAAATCAAATAATTTTAAGGTCCTATTTATATTCTATTAAAAAAAAAAAAACAATTTTTTCACGTTTTCATTTTTTTTTTGTGTATACATATATTTTTTATTATTGTATTAACGGTAAATGAGAGAACTGTTCTTGCTTGAAAAAAAAATCGATAAATTTATAATGAAAATAAACACTTTTTGGCTAATGTCCGTCAACATCCAACATTTTTTTTTCAATCTAAGAATGGCGACCAACCCACATGAACGTACTTCATAGCAAAATACAAAATCTTGTAAAAAAATGCTTACATTTGTTACAGACCTAGCTTCTTGAAGAAATTAATACAATTTATTTATCAAAATTTATGTTAAATATATTTTTGAAATATTAAGCACGCTTTTTTTCTGCATATTTTTTTGAATTCGTACATCTCATTAATTTTTAATCATTTCAGTGTTTTATATTCATGCTACTTAGTACTCATTTTTTAATAAAAAGAAAGGTAAGACATTTTTAATTTAACTTTATTAATTTAGCTTTTTTTGGGCCAAGTAAATAAACTTATATTTTGTTTAGTTTCTCCAGCTCCTAGTTACAGGAAATTTTGTTTTGGCCGACAGCGCCATCGATGACCGTGCAGATAAACTACGGTTTTTCTCTCCCTTTACGGTCCTTGACATACCTTTTTAATATTTCCATACAAACTAATCAACATCAACTAAGTTTTGACAAAATGACTTACAGAACACGACACTACATACAATTCAAATTTATAAATGGGTATAATTTCTCATCGCTTCCTTATTTCTACTCAAAAAATAAATACACCATCTAATATCAACGCCATATAAAAGATAGATCATATATTGATATAAAATTATTAACAGTATTAATAAATAAATGTTTGAAATAGTAATAAATAAATATTAAAAACACCAACGTCGACTTTTGATGTAACTTTAATAATCTGAAAGAAGTCTTGTTTTATTTCTTGATAGTTTCTGTGTAATTTATCCTATCAAACTTTATTTTGTTGAGAAAGGTAAGGTGAATAAAATTAGAGTTTGCGCATTTTAAGCGATTTTCAACTATAACAACATCCTCAATATAATAATAACAACAGATTTTGTTATTTTACTGTATTAACATAATTAAATAGATCAAAAAATGATTAATAAACAAATATTAAAAATTGCATTGATTGTTTTATGTTGTTAACAAAATGTTATTTCATTCGACAAGCAGCCGTGTTGATTTTTTCGTTGTGTTTTTACTGCGTTGAAAAAAAAGGTAAGAAATCTTTTTTTTTTATAATTTTTCCCTCTAATCTCACTCCACGGTGGATGTTGTTTTGAATTTGCGCACATGTTAATTTACGAGATTTTCCACCTTAATAACGTGGGTAATACAATATTAATGGCTGACGCATCCATATTTTTTTTAACGAAAAAACAATAACAAATACGTGTTATTTTTATTATATTATCTTTGAATCTCTTATATTTATATAACCGCGATTTTCCACGCTTTTACTCGAAATTTATTCAAGTCAAATTCATCTGACCCTTCTTCAGGTAGGGATTCACGTTTAACTCGTAGCAAATTCACGTTTAACTCAAAGGAATTCCACAAGCTCATAGCACAGAATATCACAATATTCTGTGCTTATAGTAGCGAATAGTTTTAATACGGCTTTAATTCAATATTGTAATTAATTAATATTAGAGATTCCAGCGCCATCTGGTGATTTTATATTGGTAACAAATTTCTTTTTTGTTGGTTGGCAGCTTTGTAACTTTTTCATTTCTTTCGACCGTTAGTTTTGGTTTGAATCGTTGTGTTTTCGACTCCAACTTTCATTGTGTTAAAAAAGGTAGGAATTATTACCTTTTTTTTTGAAATATTACTTTAATAATAATCGGATTTATGATTTACGCGGAGCAGAATACTTTGTTTATGCGCAATCGACGTTTTACGCGATTTTGACCCATAATAACTTCGGCAACATAACCTCAAATGCCATGCTTTTTTTTACCACGAACTATAATTCCAGATAATTCATTTCTTATTCTGCATTTTTTTCATTTTTACTTTATTACGGATTTAAAACAACAAATACATTAATTACATCAAAAATAGTAATTAATTAATATTAGAAATCGACACCCACGCCCCCTGGTGGTATTTGTTAGTAGCAAAACGTCTCTTCTCAGTTGCTGGGCAGCCATGTTGCTTTTTCATTTCTTTTGACCGTTAGTTTTGGTTTGAATCGTTGTGTTTTCGGCTCCAATTTTCATTGTGTTGAAAAAGGTAGGTATTCTTAACTTTTTTTTCCAATTTTACTTTAATAATAATCGGATTTATGATTCACGCCGTGAAGAATACTTTGTTTATGCGCAGACGGTGTTTCACGCGATTTTGACCCATAATAACTTCGGCAACATAACCTCAAATGCCATGCTTTTTTCTACCACGAAAATAATTTGTATAATTCATTTTTTCTTCCAATTTTTTTAAATTTTTGCTTTATTACGGATTTAAAACAACATATATCTACGTTAATTACATCAAAAAAATAGTAATTAATTAATATTATAAATGCCAACGCCCTGTGGTCGTTTCTTGTTGGTAACGAAACGTCTCTTCTTAGTAGCTAGGCAGCCATATTGCTTTTTCATTTCTTTTGACCGTTAGTTTTGGTTTGAATCGTTGTGTTTTCGACTCCAACTTTCATTGTGTTAAAAAAGGTAGGAATTATTACCTTTTTTTTGAAATTTGACTTTAATAATAATCTGATTTATGATTTACGCGGTGCAGAATTCCTTGTTTATGCGCAGACGATGTATCACGCGATTTTGACCCATAAAACTTCGGCAACATAACCTCAAATGCCATGTTCTTTTTAACACGAAAATAATTCTTGATAATTCATTTTTTATTTTACATTTTTTAAATTTTTACATTATTACGGGTTTAAAACAACATATACATTAATTACATCAAGAAATTACTAATTAATTAATATTAGAAATCAACGCCCTCGCCCTCTTGTGTTTTTTGTTGGTAGCAAAACGTCTCTTCTTAGTTGCTAGGCAGCCATATTGCTTTTTCATTTCTTTCGACCGTTAGTTTTGGTTTGAATCGTTGTGTTTTCGACTCCAATTTTCATTGTGTTGAAAAAGGTAGGAATTCTTAACTTTTTTTTGCAATTTTACTTTAATAATAATCGGATTTATGATTTACGCGGAGCAGAATACTTTGTTTATGCGCAATCGACGTTTTACGCGATTTTGACCCATAATAACTTCGGCAACATAACCTCAAATGCCATGCTTTTTTTTACCACGAACTATAATTCTAGATAATTCATTTCTTATTCTGCATTTTTTTCATTTTTACTTTATTACGGATTTAAAACAACAAATACATTAATTACATCAAAAATAGTAATTAATTAATATTAGAAATCGACACCCACGCCCTCTGGTGGTTTTTGTTGGTAGCAAAACGTCTCTTCTTAGTTGCTGGGCAGCCATGTTGCTTTTTCATTTCTTTTGACCGTTAGTTTTGGTTTGAATCGTTGTGTTTTCGACTTCAATTTTCATTGTGTTGAAAAAGGTAGGAATTCTTAACTTTTTTTTTGCAATTTTACTTTAATAATAATCGGATTTACGCGGAGCAAAATACTTTGTTTATGCGCAATCGACGTTTTACGCGATTTTGACCCATAATAACTTCGGCAACATAACCTCAAATGCCATGCTTTTTTTTACCACGAACTATAATTCTAGATAATTCATTTCTTATTCTGCATTTTTTTCATTTTTACTTTATTACGGATTTAAAACAACAAATACATTAATTACATCAAAAATAGTAATTAATTAATATTAGAAATCGACGCCCACGCCCTCTGGTGGTTTTTGTTGGTAGCAAAACGTCTCTTCTTAGTTGCTAGGCAGCCATGTTGCTTTTTCATTTCTTTTGACCGTTAGTTTTGGTTTGAATCGTTGTGTTTTCGACTCCAATTTTCATTGTGTTGAAAAAGGTAGGAATTCTTAACTTTTTTTTGCAATTTTACTTTAATAATAATTGTATTTATGATTTACGCGGAGCAGAATACTTTGTTTATGCGCAGACGACGTTTTATGCGATTTTGACCCTTAATAACTTCGGCAACATAACCTCAAATGCCATGCTTTTTTTTTACCACGAAATATAATTCTACATAATTCATTTTTTATTCTCCATTTTTTTAATTTTTGCGTTATTACGGTTTTAAAACAATAAATACATTAATTACTTAAAAACATAGTAATTAATTAATATTGGAAGTCAACGCCTTGCCCTCTGGTGGTTTTTGTTGGTAGCAAATGTCTCTTCTTACTTGCTAGGCAGCCATATTGCTTTTTCATATCTTTTCACCGTTAGTTTTGGTTTGAATCGTTGTGTTTTCGACTCCAACTTTCATTGTGTTAAAAAAGGTAGGAATTATTACCTTTTTTTTGAAATTTTACTTTAATAATAATCGGATTTATGATTTACGCGGTGCAGAATACTTTGTTTATGCGCAGACGACGTTTTACGCGATTTTGACCCATAATAACTTCGGCAACATAACCTCAAATGCCATGCTTTTTTTTAACACGAAAATAATTCTTGATAACTCATTTTTTATTTTACATTTTTTTAATTTTTACTTTATTACGGGTTTAAAACAACATATACATTAATTACATCAAGAAATTAGTAATTAATTAATATTAGAAATCGACGCCCACGCCCCCTGGTGGTTTTTGTTGGTAGTAAAAGTCTCTTCTTAGTAGCTAGGCAGCCATATTGCTTTTTCATTTCTTTTGACCGTTAGTTTTGGTTTGAATCGTTGTGTTTTCGACTCCAACTGTCATTGTGTTAAAAAAGGTAGGAATTATTACATTTTTTTTTGAAATTTTACTTTAATAATAATCGGTTTTATGATTTACGCGGTGCAGAATTCCTTGTTTATGCGCAGACGATGTTTCACGCGATTTTGACCCATAAAACTTCGGCAACATAACCTCAAATCCATGCTTTTTTTAACCACAAAAATAATTCTTGATAACTCATTTTTTCTTCTAATTTTTATTTTATTACGGATTTACAACAACAAATACATTAATTACATAAAGAAATAGCAATTAATTAATATTAGAAATCCCAACGTCATGGGGTGGTTTTTTGTTGGTATCAAAACGTCTTTTTTTAGTTGCTAGGCAACCATGTTGCTTTTTAATTTCTGTTGACAGTTAGTTTTGGTTTGAACCGTTGTTTTCGTCTCCAATTTTAATTGTATTAAAAAAGGTAGGAATAATTTAACTTTTCGTTGCATTTTGCTTTAATAATAATCGCTTTTATGTTTTACGCGGTGTAGAGTACTTTGTTTATGCGCAGATGATGTTTCACGCGATTTTGACCCATAATAACTTCGGCAACATAACCTCAAATGTTCAGCTTTTTTTACCACGAAAATAATTCTTGATAACTCATTTTTTAACCTACATTTTTTTAATTTTTACTTTATTACGGATTTAAAACAACAAATAATCGTTTTCCAATTACTATTGTGTCGAAAAAGTTAGGATTTCGTAATTTTACTTTAATAATAATCAAATTAATAATAAAAAGTACTTTACTCATGCGCAAACGATATTTCACGCGATTTTATTCCTTAATAACTTTGGCGACATAACCTCAAATTGTATCCCTTGAAACTTTATTCTTGTAATAATATTTTTTTCAATATTTGCAGGATAAATTTTAAGCCTAATCATCAAGATGGGAAAATGGGCGGCAAAACTCGGTAACAAATTAACTGTTTAATAAATTTTACTTTTAATTTAATTTTTTTCTTTTTATTAATTATAGCTAAATCAATGAGTAGGTCACCTCAGCGTAATAGGGAACGTCGTGATAGGGAACGGCGTGATAGGGAAAGGCGTGATAGGGAAAGGCGTAATAGGATGTCTTTGTCTGTGTCTATGTCACCCATGAGATTTTCTTCTCCAAGTACTAGTCAAGGAAGACATCGATCACCAATGGGGTTGGCGCCCATCGTTAGACCGAAGCTGAGCCGAGAATTAGAACTGTGGTAAATATTTAAATTTGGATTTTATTCTTTACTAATTTTTTGTAATTTAGTGGCCGTGCTCAAAGATCTAGAAGTCTACCAGATCGATACAGTTCGGTGGACTTTAGGAGGGCTTTAGGGACTGGGAGGTCCAGGAGGTCAACTCGTGCACCCTCAAGGGAATTGGTCCGGCAACCAGAACCGATTGCAGGGCCAAGTACCTCACCTAGGCCATCTGCTTCATCTAGGTCATCTGCCTCACCTAGGCCATCTGCTTCATCTAGGTCATCTGCCTCACCTAGGCCATCTGCTTCACCTAGGTCATCTGCCTCATCTAGGGCATCTGCCTCACCTAGGTCATCTGCTTCACTTAGGAAATCTGCCTCACCTAGGTCATCTGCCTCACCTAGGAAATCTGCATCACCTAGGTCATCTGCCTCATCTAGGAAATCTGCATCACCTAGGTCATCTGTCTCACCTAGAAAATCTGCCTCACCTAGGCCATCTACATCATCGACTGTTTCTACCCAGTCACATTGGAAAATTTTCGCTTGGGGGTTAGGCGAAATCGACGTAGACGCTCTACGTCAACAACTATTACGTTATGGGCCCGTCCAAAACGTCTCCGTTTACCCCAACCCACGCAAAAATAATAACGAAGCCGATATTTACTTTAAAACCAAGAAAAGCGCCCTAGCAGTACTTCGTGCCATTCGTTTGGGCAAATTTTACGACGCCTTTAAATTGTCTTCGGCCGTTATGGGACCAGCTGCTAATAAACTTAGAAAGAATCGTCGAAATAAATAAGTATTTATATTTTGTATTGAAAAGTACTAAAAGTTTTTTCGTTCGCCCACTTTATTTTTGAGGCAATTTGTGTTAATAAAAGTATTATTTATAAATAATTTTCGATAGGTTTAGGTCTTAATTACGTATCTTATTCTATTATTTATCGTTTGTAAACTAACCAAGTTAGTTATTACCAATTTTGCACTAAGAAATAAAAAAAAATTGTCAGTTTTGTTAATAAAAGTATTATTTATAAATAATTTTCGATAGGTTTAGGTCTTAGTTACGTATCTTATTCTATTATTTATCGTTTGTAAACTAACCAAGTTAGTTATTACCAATTTTGTACTAAGAAATTAAAAAAAAATTTGTCAGTTTTGTTAATAAAAGTATTATTTATAAATAATTTTCGATAGGTTTAGGTCTTAATTACGTATCTTATTCTATTATTTATCGTTTATAAACTAACCCAGTTAGTTATTACCAATTTTGGACCAAAAAAAATTTAAAAAATTTGTCAGTTTCAATTAAAAAATGTTTTTGTAAAAAAAATTTAATTATAACATGTTTCTTATTTCCAATAAAAAATAACGTTTAATTAAAAATCTTTATTTTATTTCAAAAACCCTCATAATGTTAATAAATTTATTAAAAAGATAAAATTAAATAATTGGATTTTCCCACCAAAATAATCGTCCAATCCGCGTTAGATACGTTGAAGCTGCGCAGACTGCGTGGTACGTGATTCTCGACCTTAACAGTTCTCTCCTTTTCATAACCTCAACCATCGTGTTTAGAAGTTTTTAAAATCAACTAATAAAATTAATAGTAAATAAAAAAGTGTTAATAACGTTTAATTAAAAATCTTTATTTTATTTCAAAACCCCTCATAATGTTAATAAATTTTTTAAAAAGATAAAAATAAATAATTGGATTTTCCCTCCTTTTCATAACCTCAACCACCATGTTTAGAAGTTTTTAAAATCAACTAATAAAATTAATAATAAATAAAAAAGTGTTAATAAAGTTTAATTAAAAATCTTTATTTTATTTCAAAAACCCTCACAATGTTAATAAATTTATTAAAAAGATAAAAATAAATAATTGAATTTTCCCGCCAAAATAATCGTCCAATCCGCGTTAGAGACGTTGAAGCTGCGCAGACTGCGTGGTACGTGATTCTCGACCTTAACATTTCCCTCCTTTTCATAACCTCAACCATCGTGTTTAGAAGTTTTTAAAATCAACTAATAAAATTAATAGTAAATAAAAAAGTGTTAATAACGTTTAATTAAAAATCTTTATTTTATTTCAAAAACCCTGACAATGTTAATAAATTTATTAAAAAGATAAAAATAAATAATTCAATTTTCCCGCCAAAATAATCATCCAATCCGCGTTAGAGACGTTCAAGCTGCGCAGACTGCGTGGTACGTGATTCTCGACCTTAACAGTTCCCTCCTTTTCATAACGTCAACCATCGTGTTTAGAAGTTTTTAAAATCAACTAATAAAATTAATAAGTAGTAAAGTGTTTATTATAAATAATTTAGTGCTTTGTTAAGGTTTTATATTTACTCATTCCCAATCAACGAGTAATTAAAAAACAAATTAGTGGAAAGAAACCGACGTCGGCGTTGCTGCCGTTCGTTTTCGGTTAACAATCGCATTTTAGTCATTGTTTAATCATCCTATTTGAATTCAGGAGATATAGGTAAGGATTAAAATTAATTATTAATTGTAAATGAAGTATTGAGCATGCGTACATTACATTTCGGGCGATTTTCAACCATAACCACGATGTTATAACCTCACCACTGCTATTTCTTTACGTAAACGTGTTTTCAAATGTAATTAAATTATATAAAATTATAAATCAATTAGGGTTAAGTTAAAGATAGGAGTTATTAAAAAGAGGGAATTAATTTGAACTAGATGGTGCTTTTATCGCATGTATTACTTCGGTAACGTTTATGTTGATTGCTCATTTCTAAGTAAAACTCGTCGGGGTTATTGTATTTCAGAGAGGTAAGAAATTAAATCGAGTGCTTTATTTTTGTTAAAATTAAGAGATTGCATTTTTCGCGATTACCAACATTATCTAATTTAATCTTTTGGTTCATCTATTAATTCTATATGATAATGAATCATCTTATAGAAAATTCTAAAATTTTTATTCCCAAGAATATTGTGTTTTGATTGTATTATATAGCTTATAATAGTATGTAATTTAAACCAAAAATTTCGATTACAAAATATTCGTATCGAAACAGATAAGAACATAATTAAGGATACAAAGCACAACAACTATTACTTACTGCCTTGAGTTACTCTTTGATATAAAAAATATTTTTTTTAAGATAAAAATGAAAGTACGTTGTACTTCCCCGACTGGAGCGATACCGCAAAATGTTAATAAGGGATGGTATAAAACACCCCAGACGAAATATTTCGAGAGATTACTACGCCCTTGGTGGTTACCCCTCATGCAGAAGAACCAAAGGCGAGGAACACGGTAAATGTTGAAATAATTTCTTTCTTTTTCAAATTTTTTAATTTTACAGAAAAACCAAAAGGACTAGATCTTCCCCAAAGCGCTATAATCCGGAGGATTTCACTTCAAATCGTAAGTCAGCAAACCGAGCTATGAAATCTTGGATGATTAGCACTTACGGCCACGGGAATGTAAATTTACACACATTCCGTGGTTATGTTGATGTTTTTGGAGTGATTAGAAACATACGCATCTGTCGAAATCACAGCGAAAAAACTTATCAAGCCGATATTTATTATAAAACGAAGAAATCCGCTTTGGATGCACTCCGAGCTATTCGTAATCGCAAATTAGCTGAAAATATTGGACTTACCTCTGGCGTTTTGGCCGAAAAAAATCCTAGATACTTACAGTTTCGTCCTAACAACACCTCTTAAATAATATTTATTTTTGTGGTGATTGTACATAACTAAGAAATGCTAAGTTAATAAATACTATTTCTTTAACAAATTTTGTGTTTTATTTATTTTTTGTAAAAAGATTATTTGATTAAGTTTAAAAATTTTGTAAAGAAACGAATACTTATCAATTATTCTTGGACTTTTCATGGATTATAAATAAAAGTTTGATCTTTTTAATACAATTATTCATTTGGAAAAATAACTTTTAGTTGATGAGATAAACATTTTTAAAGTTGTAACAATTTTTATAGGTTATTTATTTTGATTAAGTTTAAAAATTTGTGGAAAATCGAATACTTATCAATTATTCTTGGACTTTTCATGGATTATAAATAAAAGTTTGATCTTTTTAATACAATTATTCATTTGGAAAAATAACTTTTAGTTGATGAGATAAACATTTTTAAAGTTGTAACAATTTTTATAGGTTATTTATTTTGATTAAGTTTAAAAATTTGTGGAAAATCGAATACTTATCAATTATTCTTGGACTTTTCATGGATTATAAATAAAAGTTTGATCTTTTTAATACAATTATTCATTTGGAAAAATAACTTTTAGTTGATGAGATAAACATTTTTAAACTTGATAACAATTTTTATAGGTTATTTTTTTTAATTAAGTTTAAAAATTTGTAAAAAATCGAATACTTATCAATTATTCTTGAACTTTTAATGGATTATAAATAAAAGTTTGATCTTTTTAGTACAATTATTCATTTGGAAAAATAACTTTTAGTTAATGAAATAAACATTTTTAAAGTTGATGACAATTTGTATAGGTTATTTTTTTGATTAAGTTTAAAAATTTGTACAAAATCGAATACTTATCAATTATTCTTGGACTTTTCATGGATTATAAATAAAAGTTTGATCTTTTTAATACAATTATTCATTTGGAAAAATAACTTTTAGTTGATGAGATAAACATTTTTAAAGTTGATAACAATTTTTATAGGTTATTTTTTGGATTAAGATTAAAAATTTTGTAAAAAAACGATTACTTTTCAATTATTCTTGGACTTTTCATGGATTATAAATAAAAGTTTGATCTTTTTAATACAATTATTTATTTGGAAAAATAACTTTTAGTTGATGAGATAAACATTTTTAAAGTTAATAACAATTTTTATAGGTGATTTTTTTTGATTAAGTTTAAAAATTTGTGGAAAATCGAATACTTATCAATTATTCTTATACTTTGCATGGATTATAAATAAAAATTTGACCATTTTAATACAATTATTCATTTGGAAAAATAATTTTTAGTTTATGAGATAAACATTTTCAAAGTTGATAACAACTTTTATAGGTTATTCTTTTTGATTAAGTTTAAAAATTTGTAAAAAATCGAATACTTATCAATTATTCTTAAACTTTTCTTGGATTATAAATAAAAGTTTGATCTTTTTAATACAATTATTCATTTGGAAAAATAACTTTTAGTTGATGAGATAAACATTTTTAAAGTTGATAACTATTTTTATAGGTTATTTTTTTTGATTAAGTTTAAAAATTTGTAAAAAAATCAAATACTTATCAATTATTCTTGAACTTTTCATGGATTATAAATAAAAGTTTGATCTTTTTAATACAATTATTCATTTTGAAAAATATCTTCTACTTTATGAGATAAAAATTTTTAAAATTGATCAAAATTTTATATATAATTATTAAAAAACTATAATAATTAAAAAAAAAACAAATAATTGAAAGAAATTTTAATTTAAACTGTTTCGAAAAACTTACATTTACAAAAATAAAAACTTTTTTAAACAAGTAATTGGCTTAAATTTACCTGTACATTACTTTTACATAACTATTTTATTAATACAAACTAAAAAAAAATTAAACAGAATGAAAATGACTAAGAGGAGTTGTTATCACTTGTTCAGACGACTGTGGCCTTTCTACCTTTGCAGCGGAAGTAATGCCAAAATCGTAAAATTTACCAATACGAATTGCACGAAGTGCTGATACTGCTCCTTTCATCGTTGTGAAACTAATATCGGCCTTATTCTTGTTGATGCCGTCGCAATGTTGAATACGAATTTGTTCAATAGTCCCATAACACGATAATTGCTTTCGTAAAGCATTTATGTCGACTTCTCCAAAGTCCCAAGCGAAAATCATCCAAAGTTCTGCAGGTTTTTGAGGCGTAGCAGGAGGAGATGGCGTTCTAAATATCACTTCTGACGA